TTGGGTAGAGTTCTGTTCCATTGTGGAAATATGTTTGCCCATGGTTTTTGTCTTGTGCACATGCCCTGAACTGTCTGGCCATGTGAGTCATACTGTCTCTCGCGTTTTTCATACTATTTGTCCCTTTAGATGTTCCTGCTTATTACCTGTCTGTCTTTGCTTGAATCACCTTTGTAGTAATATGTTAAGGCTGAGACATGCATGTGCATGGACACCTGTATGCAGTGATTCACCAGTTAAGTGACAGTAGCATCAAAACTGGCAAGATGTAACAGAAAGTACTCTAACAATTGGGCTCTAAATTTCCTTGTGGAGCAGAAAGTGTGGGTCGGACTCCACTATGCTCTCCACAGGATCTATCATGATCTAGCAACAACAAAGCTAGCAGGAATGCTATGCAAAAACCAGTATCTTGACTCTTAATGTATTGGCATGGGGTTCATGACATGAGGGTTTCAAACTACCTCAAGACAGTTCTGGACATATGGGCTTCTTGGGTAATCATGGATGTAGGTCAGTTTCATGAATACAATACAACCTCTGCATCTGCAGAGGATACATCAGACATGAGCAAACTTCGGCCCTCCAGGTGTTTTGGACTTCAACTTCCACAATTCCTAACAGCCAGTAGCTGTTAGGAATTGTGGGAGTTGAAGTCCAAAACACCTACTGGCTGTTAGGAATTGTGGGAGTTGAAGTCCAAAACACCTGGAGGGCCGAAGTCTGCCCATGCCTGGGATACATTCTCATATTTTGTTGTTAATAGCATTCCTTTTGAAATGAAAGACTTCCAGCCCAAGAATTCCATATAATCATGTGGAGGACCTAGCAAATGCCATTTGGTTGAATTTAAATAAATGAAGCTGCAGATTCGGTGATCGTACTATACTTACTTAACTTAAATTTTTACATTTTTAAATTTTAAACATTTTAGGCACTTCTCAGTCATCTACCAATATAAATGAATTAACCATTTCACAATTATTGTGAATTTTACCACTTGCATTCCACAGCCTCACCCAATTTGGGTTAAAAGAAACCATTGGAGCCCAGTACACATTTTCCCAACCCTACCTCTATTCTTTGCAAAGCCACAGAGATGAAGATCTCAAGTGAAGAACTATGAAATACAGGGGGAGGAATGAATTTTTTTTTGTATAATCAAAAATCCCCTAACATAATTTCACCTCAATGGCCCACCAGACAGCCACACTCAATATCCAAATATGTACTCAGCTAAAGTGCATTTTATTGAGGAAATGGAAAAAACATTCGGTTATTTTGGATTGATAAAAGCACTTAGCTATTGCATTTATGCTCTAAAAGTGTTCCCAAAGAGGCTTTATAACAATTAAAAACACACAACACTTAGAACCCTTGCCATGTAGTTACCTGCATGCCTTTGGCCTGATGAAAGTTGAGTGGGACCTCTAATTTAACAGTTTGGGTCACCACTGCTAGAAACGTGATCATTGCATGGGTTCTTTTTTATTTCTTGCTGCAGTGTGGCCATGCATGCCTCTGCCTTCTCATCTGTATCATTGTTGTGTCTGGCAGCTAGGGAGTGGGGTGGGGCAGGACTGGAAACATCATAATGTTAACTTCTTCCGGTTGGCAATTGTCCTTTCTCTGCAGGCAACCCACCTGGCCATGCTAAAAAAGCCCTGAAGCAGCGGTTCCTCAAGCTGCTGTCCTGCTGTCGCCAGCCCAAATCCATCCCCTCAGTCAGCGAAAGCAAGTGACCCTTTCTGGCTCTCTATGTGTCTTCTCTGTGCTGTTGTATCATGAGGGCCAGGACTGTGATAGACAACTTTTTCTCAATACAAATCTCAGCTTAAAAATGAAATAAAAATAAATCAGGAGTGTGTGAATGCAGACAAAGAAAATAAGGAGTGGGTCAGAGTAAAGCTGTAGACTAACTCAGCAGTCAGCAACCTTTAGAGCAGTGGTTCTCAAACTGTGGGTCCCCAGATGTTTTGGCCTTCAACTCCCAGAAATCCTAACAGCTGGTAAACTGGCTGAGATTTCTGGGAGTTGTAGGCCAAAACAACTGGGGACCCACAGGTTGAGAACCACTGCTTTAGAGGGTGGGGGCCACATTATTTACCCAGGAACTTTTAAAGGGGCACATATCCCACAATAACAAAATATGGTCATCAAAAAACCATGAAACTTCTTCTTTTAATAATATGTTGCTTAAAATGCCATCTTCTGTGGAGGATGTTTGGTGACAAAAATAAATAAATGACTTCTAGGGAACCCTGAGGATCATATGGACTGCTGCTTGCTCACCCCGCTTTTCCTAGTCACCAATTTTACACACTTGCTTTGTAGATCATTGGGGAGTCTAGGAAAACTAGTGAAATACATACTTTTATTCCAAGGAAAACTCTTTAGAATCAATATAAAGAGGAAAAATAGTAAAGTAGGGATGTCCTCCTGAAACTCAGGTCAATCGGTTTTCTGGACTTGAATTTTCCAAATCTTTACATTTCCCTATCTTTTGCTGGGATTGCCAAATGATGACACATTCTTACAAATGTCTCAGGGGACGAGGGCATGCTTTTCCTCACATAGTCAGAGGTCCCAGTTCTAGTAAAAAAAAAAGTGGTTTGAGCATTGCTCTACAACTCTGGAGAACCGGGTTCAAATCCCTGCTTAGCCATGAAAAATCACTGGGTGACCTTAGGCAAATTATACACTCCTAGCTTTAGAAAACCCTGTGATGTATTTGCTTTAGGGTTGCCTTAAGCTGAAAATGACTTGAAGGCATACCATCACCACCACAATAAGTAAAATTAATAGTAAGTTAATAATACTCTCCTGCTAGTATTCTGAAGAGATTAGTCTGTTTGTTGGTTGGCCCATCTGTGTCTACACTGCAATGTTGTGCAAAGAAGTTACACTGGGTGCAAAATTCACCTTCCTAATGACATTTGCCTTATTCACGCACACATGCACCAGGCAAAGGGGAGTGTGCTACAACTGAAAAGATTTCCATTGGATTAAACAGTCTTGATGCAATAGCAGTTTCATATCTTTTCAACCCTGCTGAGAAGAAGCGCATCTCTGCATGAGTACATTTGCAAGACTTAAAGTGTGTGTTGAAGAAATAAAATCCACATGAACATTTCCTTCAATGTTTCACCAATGAAAACTAGGACATATGTCACCAATCAATATCAGAGTATGCCAAGATGGCAAAAGTTACTAATCAAGAAGAATATACAAGCTAGGCAAGAATGCCGCAAATTGCTTTAGATGGTTCTATCAGTCTTTGGCTCTACTTGTTTTGCTTATTATTTTAATTAATTCCTTATAGTTTCAGGCCAATATATGAGAACAGTGACAAAGTATGATAAATTTATAATTCAATCGTCTGACAAAATCCAACATCTTTCTTTCACACTGTGGCAAACCAGATGCCTCTGGAAAACTCAGACGGAGGAAAAACTGGTTTTCAGTTGTATGCTGTCGTTTTGCACAAAGATTCCACTTAGCTCTAATGACTACTAGGTATTGGTCAGCTCTCTGAATTTCTCAAATCTCTCTTCCAAAGTCCACACCAGTGGCTATCACATACCTGGTAACACTGAAGTGCACAAGTTATAACTACAGGCTGTTGGAAAGTCTCAATTAGAGAAAACCCATTCAATCAATTGTTGGATGGTGAATCAAGGCATAGGTAAATTCCAGTTATTCAAAGGATCTGTTCTATTTAGGACTAGCAATAGAATTTAGGCCACGTGTAGTTACTAAAGGTTCTGGAGAAAGCATCTGATTTCCATGGATTTAAATCTCCTAATATTTCTGTGTCTGTACTTGAGTGTATATGACTAGTGGAGTAGGGTAAAGGTGTGTGTAGGTTTTCACTTAAATCTGTCTCTTTTTATCATTATCTTGGTTGCTTACTCTTTCTCCTTCTTGATTATTGTGAACAACCCTATTCCTGTGACCATCTAGCAACTAAAATATTTACAGTAGAGTCTCGCTTAACCAACCTTTGCTCATCCAACTTTCAGTATTATCCAGCACAGTCTGCCTCCCACCTAGATTCACCGCTGTTTCAATACATTGCGATGTTTTAGTGCTAAATTTGTAAATACAGTAATTACTACATAACATTACTGTGCATTGAACTGTTTTTTCTGTCAATTTGTTGTAAAACATTATGTTTTGGTGCTTAATTTGTAAAATCATAACGTAATTTGAGGTTTAATAGGCTTTTCCTTAATCTCTTCTTATTATCCAACATTTTCACTTATCCAACATTTTGCCGGCCCATTTATGTTGGATAAGCGAGACTCTACTGTAATAAAAAGACTGAATGTAGTTTTATATTCAAACATTTGATAATTGGAATTAATCGCCAAGACAGACAGTGCAGTTTTAGCAGAAAATGTATATACAGTTGATCTCTGGGAATCTGAAGCTATTATAACACTTATATGAATCTTTCTCTATCTTTATTTATATAACCATATATTAACAGATATTACTAATGCCCCACACATTTCTAGTCTACTACCTTCTCCAGAGGAGAACTGTTGTAGATTGTCTCACTGACTCAGAAAAGGAGGGAACACATGATATTATCCATTCACTATGAATGGAAGACAGATAAACCACTCCTGGTTTTCTGTTCACATCCAGATTGAGCCTGAATGTAATGTTTATTGCTACCTTCCTACCTTCCTCCAGAAAAAAGTTTAACAGACGTTCAAAAAACAGGACTAGCTTTCTGGTTGCAATTCATGTGAGTTAAAAATTGTTCTACAATGAACATGCATCCCTATATGCTTGCAAGAAACAAAGATAGCAGGTCCAAACTTAGGCCACATGCACTCAATCTATCTGTGTTTACTGCAGTGGTAGAAAATGGTTTCTACAGTTCATTTTAGAGGTAGGAGGAACAGAGCCTTCACTTCAACCAATTATTGGAGGGAACAGCTGATCAAAACTGATTTCCTATACTTCTGAGGCTCTTCCTTTTCTTGCAGACAGTATAGAGGATGAGTTTGAACTCTCCACTGTTTGTCACCGGCCTGAGGGCCTGGACCAGCTACAGGAACAAAGCAAGTTTACCCGGAAGGAGCTGCAGGTCTTGTACCGGGGCTTCAAGAATGTAAGTTGAAAGAAAACAACTCCATGTCCTCTTTGCTGAATTTCATTGGTTCTTCTCTCTCTCTCTCTCTCTCTCTCTCTCTCTCTCTCACACACACACACACACACACACACACACACAGAGAGAGAGAGAGAGTTCTGAGCAAGGAAGAAACAGTCCTTTCCATGTTTGATTGTGTACATGTATAGCATCTATTCATTCCATGCATTATTTATATTCACCTTTCCCCAGGGTTTTTGGAGAGTCCTATATCACTGGGGGAATGCATCTGTTTAATTCTGAATCTGAAATGTGAAAAAGGTGTTGATGTTCTGAGTCTTACCCCATTATTATATTCAGTACCTTGGATAGATCTATATAAATCCAGATGAATGCTAGGATGGTATCAAACCTCAATACACACAACCGTTGGTGCCTTTTCTATTTATTATTTGCCCTGTCGGCATCTCAGGAATATTAGCTATTGTGTTATCCTCATTTGTGTCTAAAGAGATTGCTACCAACAAGGTCTTGGCCAGTGACTGAACTCTGGAAGCTTCTTGCTTTCCTTAGTGCTAAAAGAAGTGCCTTCCTTTTTATTCCAGAGATCCTTCTTGATTCTTCTATCTCACTCTCAAATGCCTCATTTGAATCTTTAAACAACAGCATAAACCCCTGTCATTCTCACAAAAGTCTTCTTGGGCAGTTGGCTAGTAGGCATCTCCAAAGTGAATACATTTCACATTGCTGTTTTAGTCAAACTAAACAGTTCCCCTGTTATCCATTTGTGTTTACACATAAGAGATGAAAGTGGGGATGTATTCTAGGCTTTGGAAGCCATTTATCTTATAAACATATGTGCACACAAATATTACTCATACATCTGTACTGTAACCGTTCTCCTAGTGCTATCCAAGTTTTTATGTTTTTCTGCTTTCTGCCAAATGCATGACTTGGGAATTGGCTCCTCTAAGCTTTTATGGACTACACACCACACTGGAGCTATCCTGGGGTATTCTCCAGACTCATTCTTCCAAGTTGAACTTCTCTGCACTTTTCAATTTGACAGGAGTGCCCCAGTGGCATTGTTAATGAAGACAGCTTTAAGCAGATCTACTCACAGTTCTTCCCACAGGGAGGTGAGTACCACTCTCAACAGAGGAGGGTAAATGGTTTGGAAGGACTAGGACAGTTTCCTGGACCCAATGTGGGATATATCCTTGACAGCTGGCACATTTCTTCTTCAGTTGCTTGTAGCTCAACTTGCTTTATAAAGCACAATACCTTGCCCAAAATAAATATCTATACGGAATCCCTGGCTGCATTGGAATATGGTCCTGATGCAGCCTGATTTATAGGGCTTTGTGGAGCTATAGCCAAAACAATAAACTTTTTCTAGTTTTGTATATGTACATCATATGTGTATAGATCAGTGTTTCTCAACCTTCCTAATGCCGTGACCCCTTAATACAGTTCCTTGTGTTGTGATGACCTCCAACCATAAAATTATTTTCGTTGCTACTTCATAAAAGTAATTTTCCCACTGTTATGAATCATAATGTAAATATCTGATATATAGGATGTATTTTAATTCACTGGATGACATTTGGCACAAATACCCAATATGCCCAAATGTGAATACTGGTGGGGTTGGGGGCATTGATTTTGTCATTTGGGAATTGCAGTTGCTGGGATTTATAGTTAACCTACAATCAAAAGCATTCTGAACTCCACCAACAATGGAGTTGAACCAAACTTGGCACACAGAACTCCCTTGACCAACAGAAAATACTGAAAGGGTTTGGTGGGCATTGACCTTGAATTTTGGAGTTGTAGTTCACCTACACCCAGAGACCACTATGGACTCGAACAATGATGGATCTGGACCAAACTTGGCACAAATACTCAATATGGCCAAATGTGAACACTGATGGAGTTTGGGGAAAATAGACCTTGACATTTGGGAGCTGTAGTTTCTGGGATTTATAGTTCACCTACAATCAGAGCATTCTGAACCCCACCAATTATAGAATAGGGCCAAAATTCCCACATAGAACCCCCATAACCAACAGAAAATACTGTGTTTTGTAATGGTCTTTGGTAACCCCTCTGACACCTCCCATGCAAACCCCAGGTTGAGAAACGCTGGTATAGATGTTATATATTATCTTGATTTTTATTATAGAAATGTGGAGCATGTATTTTCACAGCATATTTGTCTTCTGTTATCTAAGAAGGATGGCCATCATTTCATGACACCTAAAGTATCTTTTTAAAAAATGCAGCTGAAGTCAGGTTCGCTTGTTCCCTGCCTGTTGCCCTTGCTTGTGTCTTGCTCTTAATTGATTAGTCTAATGCTCTTCTCTGCAGATTCCAGTACTTATGCAACTTTCCTTTTCAATGCGTTTGACACTGATCACGATGGCTCTGTTAGTTTTGAGGTAAGATTCTAAGTTTTCTTATTTACATTCTTGACAGACTTTCCTGTAATCAGAAATCACAGAAGGAGAACAAAACTGAATGTAGTAAGTTTGGGCTTTGCCACGAAATCAATAGGTTTTGGGGTCTTTACTGGCATCATGGTCAAATTAGATTTGATGCGGATGACTAGGACGGTTTTAAATGGTGTATTTTAATATTTTGATAAATGTTTTTTAATGTTTATGTATTGCATATTAAATTGTATCCCGGCATTGAATGTTTGTCGTGTATACGCTGTGCTCCGCCCTGAGTCCCCTTCAGGGTGAAAAGGGTGGAATATAAATGTTTTAAATAAATAAATAAATAAATAAATAAAATTAACAGCTGTTTAGTGTAACAGAAAGAGGGCACCTATATTCAGTAGCCTTGCCAGGAGATAACATTATGTAGTGGTTTGAGCACTAGAAGATGATTCTGGAGGCCAGGGTTTAAATCCCCACTTCACTATGGAAACCCACTGCGTGAACTTAGGCAAGTCAAACTCTTAGCCTCAGAGAGAAGCAAAGGCAAATCCCCCTCTGACTAAATCTTCCCAAGAAAACCTTATAATAGGATTGCCATAAATTGGAAACATTTTGAAGGCATGCAACAGTTTTACTATATAAAGTGGATCTTGTTGTCTACTGGAGTTTTGTTCCAGGACCATCAGCACCCCACCAATATCAAAACGTGTGGATGCTCAAGTCCCATTATATATAATGGGATAATAAAATGGTCTCCTGTATACAAAATGGTGAAATTAAGTTTTTTTAAAAAAAATATATTTTATTGGTTTCTTAGAATACATCAATACTTTCGATACTCTTATATTCCATACTCAGTTCATTACATCAACTTTAAGTATGTATGTATGTGTGTGTATGTGTGTGTGTGTGTGTGTGTGTGTGTATATATATATATATATATAGTATCTTTTTTTGTTCACCTCTGTGCCCCCCCCCCCTTCCAAGCCACTTTAATTTACATTCTCTTTCCAAAATACCATTTCTTCTTGTGGAGGTAATTTCCCATCTACTTCTTTTAATCCGTTCTCAATAAATTTTCCCTAAACTTCATCAAAGTCATTTTCCTTCCATACCCCTTTCATGACTCTTAACCTACATTGCAAAATTCTCATAGCTTTGGAATGGGAGATTGGCCACACCTGCCCACTTCACTTTTATTTGCCTTTGCACCATTAAAGCCCTCTTCCAATTGTCTTGCCTGAAGAGTGTGGTATCCTGGCTAATGGGCCCCATTTAGTAAGACTCAGTGAAATGGATTACTAGCCATGGTAGAATCAAGGTAGAAGTATATATGATAGTTGTTTAGCGACCCAGATCTATCAATAGGTTATGGGATGTCAGACCCCATCCATTTAAGGGCTAGAATACTTTTCTGCTGTATTCATTGCACTTCATTATTTATTGGTATTATGTCCTTTCAGACTGATTCTGACTCAGGACAACCCATTCACATGTTTTCTTTTGTAAGATTTATTCAGAGGGAATTGATGTCGCCTTCCTCTGAGGTTGAGAGTGTTGCTAAGTAGTCAGTACACCAAGCTGGCTCTTCATCACTTACCACCAGTAAACCTCATCTTACAACAGTAATGAATGTTAGTATTTGGTACCAAAGGAAGTATTGTGGATTCTTAGACTTGCTACCAGTTCCAGTTCAGAACACTGATCTCTCCCTGACCAAGGGCACTTACTAAAAACTAACTCAAATGTCCAGCTAAGTCACAGCAATTAGTAGAAACCGCTCCTCCAACTTCACATATTGAGCTGCATCAGGATTACATGTTCAAGCTAGGAATAAAAACAGCCCTGGCTCTTAAATACAGATGTGTATGCTGGATTCCAGAATATGTGAACACTATATACAACTGATATGCCATTGCAGACCCACTGAATCTATGGAATTTTCATCAATTCATCAATGTTAACATTCTAATTGATTCAAGGTGTCTGCTGTAGTTGGCACTGTCCATTGGATTAAGCCTATGTATTACAGGAATGCCTTTCTATTTGACAGAGCAGTGGGGCCACCTCCTGGATGCATCTGAACCTGCATCTCTAGGCCGAAAATGGTACCTTGCTCTGGTGACTAAGACCAGATTAAAGTGGTTGGGACCCTGAGACAGTTTCTAAAATAGGATACCCTTTGTGCACGTGTGCACTACTGTCAGACTGGTGACATGTAAATCTCAGTGTAAGACTAACAGCTAGATCTCCATGCATTTCTATTTATTTAGCACAATAAATATGGATTATAACAAATACACTGACAGATTCAGAAAGTGACCAAGGAAGAGCCAGTTGGTAGACCCTTTTCTAACTATATCCTTTGCTGCTGAGATCTGTAGCCAGTAAGTAGTCTGAAACATCTGCCCTAACAATTAATACACCAGCCCTGAGTCTTTGTGGCATCTTTCTCTTTTATGTTCCTGCAGGACTTTGTGGCTGGCTTGTCTATTATCCTACGTGGCACTATAGATGACCGGCTCAACTGGGCTTTCAACCTCTATGACCTGAACAAGGATGGCTGTATTACCAAAGAGGTAGCTATGGGGGAAAGTGGAGCCATTGGTACCAAGAAAAGGCAGACTTTCCTAGTGCTAACCACTTTGATAAATGTTTGTTAGCCCATATGGCATGATTTATTCCTACTATTCTTTCTGTGCTCTGACATACAGGAAATGCTGGACATAATGAAATCCATTTATGACATGATGGGCAAGTACACTTACCCAGCCATGCGAGAAGAAGCACCCCAGGAACATGTTGAAAACTTCTTCCAGGTAAGGCTAAAACTGTAAAATTCCCATGTCACTATCCTATGCAGCTAGGAGTTATGACTGCCTGTTATTTGGGTCCAGATAATATAGAGAGTAATAATGGCGGGTATCCTCCTTCTCAAAGGCTTAGTACAGAGTTTTGTCAGAGCCTTCTGCCTTCTTGGTAGACCCATTCTCTCAAGATAGAAACTAGAAGGACTAGTTTCCAGAAATACCAACATTTATTCAACCCCAGTGTGTTTTGGGAGATAAAACACATTGGGGTTGAATAAATGTTGGTATTTCTGGAAACTAGTCCTCCTAGTTTCTATCCTGACTGTGTGGATCATAATAAATTGTGGCAAATTATTGGTGGTATGGGAATACCAAATCACCCTGTCTGTCTCCTGAGGAATCGGTATAACAACCAAGTAGCAACAGTAAGAACTGACCATGGAACAACAGACTGGTTCAAGATTGGGAAAGACGTATGGCAGGGTTGTATACTCTCACCCAACCTGTTCAACTTGTATGCAGTTAAAGAGGGTTAAAGAGGGTTCCTTCCGCCCCCTTGAAGTTAAAGAGGGCTCCTTCCACCCCCTTGAAGAAGAATTTTCCCTTTTAGAATTACTTGCTTTTTCTTTCATTTCTTCGGCATGTTGCCTTAAGAAGATTCTTCGTTAGCCTTTTTTGATGAGAGGGGCTGGCAATTATTGCGATCCCTTGGAGCCATCCAGGTGTCCTCGGTATCCCGGACCCCCTCGGTTCCCCACCCTTGAGAGGTGAAGAGACCCTGGGGCCTCTGACAGATACCCGCTGGACTCCTGTGTTCCCCCTGGTATCAATCCACCGGAGGAGGGGAGCTTTCGGCTTGACCTGACGGCTCTACGCAGTTGGGTTGCCAGGAGCTCCTAGAAGCCCCTGCCTGCTGCCAACACCACTCCCCCAGAAGTCCAACATTAACAATCTTAGATATGTGGATGATACCACTTTGATGCCCAAAAGCGAGGAGGAGCTTTCTAACCAAGGTGAAAGAAGAAAGTGCAAAAGCTGGGTTGTAGTTGCTGTTACAGTTAAACATCAAAAAAACCAAGATTGTGGCAAGAACACTGATTGATAACTGCCAAATAGAGGGAGAAAACATGGAGGCAGTGACAGACTTTGTATTTCTAGGTGCAAAGATTACTGCAGATGCAGACTGCAGCCAGGAAATCAGAAAACGTTTACTTCTTGGGAAAAGAGCAATGACGAATCTCGATAAAATAGTGTAGAGATATCACACTGGCAACAAAGATCCACATAGTCAAAGCAATGGTATTCCCCATAATAACCTATGGATGTAAGAGCTGGACCATAAGGAAGGCTGAGTGAAAGAAGATAGACGCTTTTGAACTGTGGTGTTGGAGGAAAATTCTGAGAGTGCCTTGGACCGCAAGAAGTCCATACTTCAGGAAATAAAGCCCGGCTGCTCATTGGAGGAAAGGAAATTAGAGGCAAAGATGAAGTACTTTGGTCGCATCATGAGAAGACAGGAAAGCTTAGAGAAAACAATGATGCTGGGGAAAATGGAAGGAAAAAGAAAGAGGGGCCGACAAGATGGATGGATGGTATCCTTGAAGTGACTGGCTTGACTCCGAAGGAGCTGGAGGTGGTGATGGCTGACAGGAAGCTCTGGTGTGGGCTGGTCCATGAGGTCACGAAGAGTCAGAAGCGACTGAACGAATAAACAACAAAGTCCTTCTATTCAGCCAGTATGGCATAGTGACTTATGCTATGACTTTGAAAGTCAAGGTTTGAACCCTCACTTGGAGATTCAATTTGGATGGAGAAATAGCGAGAACTTGTATAATTAGGCTGGAGACATACCTGTTGGTTACAGATATTGCAGTAGGCTCCTCTATACATGCTGCTGCTGAAGCAAAAATAATCTTTGTGTCAAATTCTTTTACTCTGTGCTTACATTTTAGAAAATGGATCGAAACAAGGATGGTGTGGTGACTATTGAGGAATTCATTGAATCCTGCCAAAAGGTAATATAGCAATTCATCATGTGTAATTTCCTGGTAAAACTGTTCTAAGATCACCAGGATGTTTAAAGAATTATTGGGAGGCTCATTATCTAGGGGAATGTAGAAGTTGTAATAAAAAAAGTAATATGACTGAAGTATGGAGCAAAATAGCTGCTCTTTTAGTGGTAACCAATATAGAATTAAAAGGGGATGGGAAGAAAACTGGTTTGAAAAGTCTTTTTTGCCCACAGTACAAGTTTCTGGAGAAAGGACAAACATGAAGGATTATTTGCTAACATAATAGTTCATCTTTAGACCGTCTTCCTTGTTTCCTTCCATATTCAAGGGCTTAACACTCTTTTCTTTCTGACAGGATGAAAACATCATGAATTCCATGAAGTTCTTTGACAATGTGATCTAGGCAGCCACTGCTGGAGCCCAGACCTTCATATCCCCAGGGCTTCTCTCCTTGGTGTATCCCTCTGAGGCACTCTTCTCTTGGCTGCATAGACAAAGCAGCTTCTTGTCCACACTGGACTGGGTGACTTTTGTAGAGGCAATCCTCATTTATTCAAGCTGCACCTAGGGAAGTCCCTACAATGGGAACGAATTGGGAGGTTTTGGCTAGGTTGGGCCAAGGCCCAGCAGAGGAAATGGCTGGCGTTTGCAACCACTTCCTCTGGGCATTGAAGACAAAATGGACCAACCTGCTGCCTCCATCCCCAGGAAACTGCACTGTCCAGTGTTGTCACCAAACAGTGTGCCCACCCTTCAGGGCCTTCTAATCACAGCAACCCTGTCGCCTCCAGTAGACTTCAAGTGGGTTCCACAGTACCAAATGGCAATGCAAACACAGTGATTGCAAAGGACTCATAATGGAGCTGGTGTATGTGCAATCTTCCCTCTTCCTTACATGAGGGGACTTCATCTGATATATACCAAGGTTCTCATTGCACATGTGCTATTACCCTTATGCTTCCAACATTTCTTGGCATCAAGGTATCTTGCAGCCCTGGCATTAAATTCAACAAATCCTTAGCATTTCTGGAGAAGAACTTCAAGTGGGGAAAAGAGGGCTTTGTGGGATTTTGCTTTGTGGCTTCTTTCCTTTGCACCCACAACAAAGAGAAAATGCTGCATCATTCAAAACAGTTAGGTGCCTTTAGGTTTTATTCAAAAATCAGGAGAGGCAGAGTGAATTATGCTAGGATTTCTGTGGAGAGGTAAAGTGCTGGGCCCAATAATTGGGCCCTACATTGTCCATGATGCCAGTTCCCAATAATGCTAAAAGGTACCAGAAGAACAGGGTAGACAGAGAGGCCATCATACTAGAAACAATCAGATCAGAGTGGAATTCAAATCTGTTTCTGTATGATTTCAATGGGCAGAGCCTCCCGTGTGCTTAGAGATATTCATGAAGCACCTTTTGCAACTAGGTATTAAACAGGAAATGTATGTTAAAGAGCTTTGATGTCCTTGAGCGAGAAATGCAGAGATCAGCAAAGGGCTGTGGGTAGCAATGCATCTGAAGTCATGAAAAAATCTAGTCATGAGGGTTAAAAGTGGCATCAACCAAGTGTAGGGTTCTGTCATGTGCCTTGAGATGAAAATTGTGTTTGAGATGAAAACATGATTTCTATAATACCCATTGGTATACTGAGATCAGGGTGTCTGATAGAGGTAAAGCAAGGGCCAAAAGGGTCATATGGGGAGAGGTAGAGAGAATCTTTGCTGCTCCTTTCTTTGGCCAGTTCTCTCCTTTCTCTGTAGCTTTCCTTTACTTTCTGTCCATCTCAGTTATGCTACACCTTTTCTGTTACTGTCCTCAGAGCAAGAAGGCCTTGGACCCCTCAGTAGCAAAAGTATTATGAGCAGCCAGCAACTTCAGAACCTGTTTATAAAGCTCCAAAACAGTAACAGGTTCTATAAAAGTTTTGCAGCTCTTGTGAAGAGTCCAGTCCATGCTAAGTGAACAAGACTAGTAAGAAAACAAGAAATAATGGAGTGGGCAAGGAGAATCAGGAGACAGTAGAAGAGGAAAAACGAAGTTATTTTGATGTTTCAAGAAATATTTTGCCAAAAAATAGATATCTCAGTCTTTAAGATGTGAATAACAACTGTGAAGCTATGTTTATGCCCAGTGACAGTAGTGGTACTGAAGGACAGGAGAATCCAATAGGAAAACTAAGTGAAGACAAGATAAGAGAAGCAGTCTGATGTAGGGATATGAAGTGTGGTCTAGAACCCTGACATTTATTAAAGCATGATAATACTCGATTTAAGCGGAGGGGGCATGTGATAAAAATAAAAGATGGAATTAGCTGAGGCATTCAAGTAGAAAGATATGGAAAAAAGGCCAATAATTAAAACAAAATGGCTGAAATCTGACCAAGGGTTTTCTTAGGAGAATTTAGAGCAAGAAAACTAGCAACAGTACAATGACATTTGTGATTTAGGCAATGCATGAAGAAACAAAGATGATGTTAAAGGTGATAATGTGGTTCTTTTGGCCACTTTAAGTTGAGGGAGCTCCACCCCATCCTCCTACTTGCCCTTGTTGTGGTGCTCCAAAATATGCTGATCTGTGAGGGTGATGGGAATTATATTCCAACACTTCTGGAGAGCACTGCATTGATGAAGGTTGCTGCATCAAAACAAAAGGTGTGTGTATGGGATGGGGTAGTGGCCTATAAGCAAATTAAAGGTTGGGGAATATACAATATGTGAACAGTAGAGACAATATCCTCTATCCTAGCTCATCTAGTTTCCCCTAAAGTACACAAGTTACTTCATCACATTTTTAATATCCATCCACAGTCCTCCTTTTATCCCGGCTGCAATTATTCTCATATATATATATGTTGTTGTTGCTGTTCCTTCATTTTAACATCTGGACATTCTGAAGTTTGATCCTGCGATTTCAACCTGCTTGTAGTTTCAGCTCTGAGTAAGCATTTGTACTTGTATCAAGCTTCAAAGTCCTGCTGAAGTGAGAGCCTCTGGTCTGTAGAATGCAGGCAGAATGTGTCCATTCAGGAGAGACTCTTCCCAATGGGTGGAAGGACTGGATTGAGACTGGAGGTAGAACTGGTTGGCTCAGAATTTATAAGCTATGCAAACAGACCTCCATGTGCACTAGACCCCAAATGAGGCTCTACCCTTTCCTGAGACTGCCATTTCACCTCCTGCCAATCCATCACACTACCTTGAAGGACCCCTTCATCTCTAGTTTAAACAGTTGAGCATCTCAACAGAGGTTGGGGTCTGGGGGCAGCACTAAATCTACCCGATAGTTTTCTTTTAATTTGTAACCTCCAAGACCTGTCAGTTCAACTTTCTGTACACCACTTTAAATGGTTCCTTTCTCTTGGCTTACATTTCCTTCTGCCTGTGCCTCCAGTTGGTTTTAATCCATTACACGCCCCTCTTAATCGTTCCCAAACCCACACATACATTTTCTGCAGTGAAATCCAATATACTATTTTTGTACTCAATTGTCTTCCATCAATGAAAGGCATTTTCTGTACACAGATATTTCCTACCTTAGCTCTTTTGTTCTTCCCCACCAAAATCTTTTGTTCCATTTATGTCACACTTAAGTTAAAAAAACCAACAACCCACAAACACTCAAACCTGCAGAAGGAAAGTATCATGATAGTGGTGGTGAGAAAATGTCATACCAAATCTCACTCAGACCAGCCAAAATACTTTTGTATTGCCCCACTATCTTGCAATTGTTCCTTGGTTATTTTCAGGACAGCAGCTTCCTCAAAGAGTTTGTGTGTGTTTAGTGTCAAAGCATGTTAATAATGAGCATGTCAAAGTATTTGATTCAACTGTTGTCACCTAATGGCAGATCATCTTTCAGTATACAAGAAGTTTCCAAGTGACCAGGATTCGAATGTCTGATAATTGTGTGGAAATTTGCAATACAGAGGATGAAACCTGTATTTTATACCTCATACTCTAGTCTATAGGCATTATATCAAGATTGTACTACCCTAGAAGAAAGTAGTTCTGCAGCTCAAAGTGGCTCACAGGTTAAATGGGTGGAAGCACCAGCTGCTGTCAGAGCATTCTGGTGAGAAGGTTGACCACATGGGACAAAAAAAGGCCTGATTGCCATGAAAAATTACCATTCCCCTTATATCATTATTTTATCATGGGTATTGGTCTGCCCTCAGTTTTTTAGAGTGGGTCTTTAGAATGGTCTTACAGGATATGGTATTTCCCACTTCTCATTTCCCCCTTAATAACAACCTAACATGGTTTTTCTGGAATAGAGAATGGGATTTTAGTGCATGCCTGATTACAAGAAGCAAAGCAGAACAGAACCACTTGAATGCTGCTGTGTGCAAAAATGCAAAGTAGAATTAGTCCCAAAAGGCTGTTTTAACTTAGGCTCTAAACTGGCTTATCTCTGGGCTTTTTAAAAGAAAGACCAAGGTATACTTTCTCATATCTTACCAGCTAAGTTGACTGAAAAGTGCTAACAGGTGCAAAATACATATACAAGGAGATACAGTACCTCATACTGTATTAGGCTAACAGTCCATCCATCTCGATACCATCTGCCTCTATAGGTAGAGGTGTTTCCCCGGCCTATTATCAGTTTTCCTTAAATAAAATGTGAACACCAGACCTATGAAAACATAGTCTTCTTCCTTAACACGCCAGGTATAGTCTTAGGTCTACTAGAAACTACACTAGGGAGCTAGGAACCAATAAGGGATGCCACTTTATTATGGTATCTACAGTGAGCTTCCCCATAAATCCAGCCCACATAACTTCATGTTAAACCAAAAAAAAGTTACTTTTTGGACTACAACTCCCACCATGCCTGGCCAAACATGGCCAGTTGCAACCTAAAAAGTAACTTTTTAAAATTTGAAATAGGGGTTGGATCCCTTTCTGAGGAGACAATACCCTACCGTAAGGGTTTACACCTAAGAAACAAATCCTAAGACCACGTCCTTAGTATAACTTTCAGCAGAGACTGCCCTCATTCTGACAGCCTTGAATTAAACTGTTAGTAATATGATCATGAATTTATACACCATCACTCTTTTAATGCATGGCATTTTCAAACTATGTGAGATGTTATGAGTGCAACAGTCAGGTTATTCTACAAATAATGAACATAAAAAGCAGGAAGGCACGAGCTCTTCATCTGGTGTTACACTGTACTCTCTTTGTTCCTATCATGGTGGTTCCATTCAGAATATTTCATGATTCTGCAAAAATAATTTCCTAACTTAACACATCTTTCACCATCTTGCACAATGTTATTTTGCTTGAATATATCTCCATTTTTTTCTTGATGTACCTAATCTGATGGCTATCATGACACAAGTGAGGCTGCTATATTCAGGTTGAGAAGCTATAGTTTTGTCTTGCTGTCTACTGTTTCCTTCTTCACCGACACGCCAGCAGCATCTTTCTACCTGTGCTCTCACTACAGTCATCCAGTGGGGGCCAGACACTCAAGTCCCGCTGCATTAGTGGGGCACACCAAGCTCTGTTATCAGCTTTGCATTTTCAACTCTGTATATTTTGTATAATAATGATCAAATATGACAATAAAATGCAACCACAATGGCTATGCACAAACACAAAAGGTCTCTGTTGCTGTTTGTTTGCCCATATTCTTATCTCCAGATTAGGTTCTGTATTATTGTCCTCTATCTGAACACCTTCCTCTTGAGATATGAACTATAATGATACTTAGGAGGTATGAATTCTTGCTGAAATCTAGATGTTTTTTAATTCAATAGTACTATAAATGAAAAGAGCCAGCCAAAATCTTCAAAAACTGTTCTAGCAGCTTGTTGTGAAAATGGAATCAGTATCATGCATGCAAGCAATGTCTCTTCCTCTTTTCCTAGCTTGAATTTGTTTCAGATCATTGACATCCTTAGAGTGTCTTATTAAATGTAAGCTCACAGCAGTCACTCCCCGAAAAGACACAAGACGCTAGTCCGTAATCAATCAGGAAACCTTTTACTACTGGATACATATACACAATGAAAGCCAGGATTGGCATACAGACGCACGTCAGCCCTTTATATACCCTCCCCACATTCRAATYCCCYCTTYCCGCCRACCCAGSMTCCYGCTCAATATTCCCCGCCAMACCACYMVCTGCCCTTCCCAAGGCCACCAGCTGCAATTCCTTATCGGTTCTCCATGTCAGGAATCCGGTTTTTTGYGCCACCTTCCAAGGCCAGGAAACCGAGTCCTGACAATTAAAGCTAATTGGAAAATGGTTATAAACATTTACCTAGCTAATGAATAATTTTATATAAAAACTGAAAATGGACCCCAGGAGTTCAGAATCCCCAATGGTGACTGTCTCCAAAGCTTAGCTTTACATGTACTGCTATAGCTTTCCCGTGACAACCTGTCCCAACATTGTGAGGTCTTTGGCACAGGTCAGATAGCAAAACCGATCAAAACTGGTCCCATTTAACAAAGCTTAACTAAAATAAAATGTATAAATGTATAAATGAGTATAAAAATGAAGTTGAAATGTTCTATTAACTTAAATTAACACACTTATTAAATCAGCTTGAAATTGATAAATATTACGTACTATCACATATTGAGTAGTTTTACTGCTGAGTAGTTTTACTGCTGACTAAACTGCTACGGTATAATTTTACAAATTGCAGCACCTAAACCAATTAATTACAAAAATATATAATTCCAACTCTCACCAAAGCCAAAAGAATGCAACCACTGCTAAGCCCCTTAAGCTTGTCGTCACTGTTGCTGTTTCTTAATGGATGTATTCATGTAACCAGGGTTTGGTGCCTTCTCTATGCTAGTACAATCCACTCATCTGTCACTTTTCCCTAACAATTCTCTAACCATCCCATCTTTTCTTTAACAGTACATTCATATTCTATATTTCCTATCCTAGAACTCAAGACAATTTACATGACATTCTAAGGTAGCTGTCGGTTAGCTGCTACTAACTTTCTAATGCTCAGTCCAGAGACTGCACACATTTTATACATTAAGAATTCTGATTCATGTGGATCCATCCCCCGACATTTGAAGTGACCACATCATTTGCCAGTTAAAACAAACCATCCTCCAAAATGGTCAAAATTAAGGCTGCTGGAAAGTTAGTTATGCTGTCGTAAGGGTGGAGAAATCATCTTTCTACCCCCTTCCTGCATACTTGTACTTACAGCCCTCAGCGAATCAAATACCATATAAGTGCTTTGGAAATAATTATAACAAAAAGGAAATATATAGACTCCCCTCTACAGATCATGAGTTGTAATAGCAGCTCTCTACAGAGGCTGCTATCCTTGCTCAATGGGAATTCAGCAAAAAAACGTTGCAAAATTTCCATTGGGTTGTGAGATACAGTTGTCCATCCATATATACAGATTCTGTATGCATAGATTCAACCATTCACAGTTTGAAAATATATTTTAAAATTCTAGTAAGCAAATATGCGATTTTACCATTTCATAAAAGGAACATCATTTTATTACATCATAATTGTACTTGGAACATCCACAGAAGAATAGTAATTTCTAGCCATTATTATTACAATAAGTTTTTCCTTTCTGAAAACATTTGTATGTGCTTCTATAAATATATTAAACACTGTAAAAATGCTGTAAAATACAATTAGGCCAAGGTAGTATTCAGAGATGCCTGGAGATACAGATGTAGTGATAAAGCATTCTAATATTTTTTTGATACATACAGAAAAGCCAAAAACCATCAGGGACTCTTCAACTAAGAAATGGCAAGGAAGGAACTCTGTATATGCAAGCTGATAATGTTATATGCTACTTGGAATCTAGAAAATAGATGCAAATATGTTTTCTAGTAAAATAGAAATGTTAGGGTAGGGCAATGAAATTACCAACCTGCGTATAAAATATAAAATAACGCAAAAGAAGCATGCTTTTGAATGACATTTGCGTAAAATCCTTTGCTACTACAGGCATGGTCACCAACTCATATTTTAAAATAACTGATATTACTTCTTTCTGAAATTGTACAAACAATTGTTTCTTCCTGAATTAAAAAGTATTAGGCTCTGGAATGTAGTTAATGTTAGATTCCTTCCACATCATTTCTTTGAATCATTTCTGATTTATAGCAACCCTATCATGGGGTATTCTTGGCAAGATTTTTCCCGAGTAGTCCAGCACTCAAATCTTTCACTATGTTGGCTATCTAGCTGGTATTCTTGTAAACCAGACTTAGGCAAACATCCAGGTATTTTGGACTTCAACTCCCAAGATTCCTAACAGCCTGTTTTAAACCCTAAAACAGCCAATGTGGCTATAATGAGATGATACAGGTCAAAGCCATGACGTTCCAACTGTTCTTCTACCCAATCTGCTCCAGGGTCATACAGAAATGTGGGATTGAGCAGGTAAGGCCTTACTAGAAGTACAACTTTGTAGGGGTCTATCTATCCTGTACATTTATGCAGTCTTCAATGCTATAGAATCATTTTGAGTTGTCATTTTGCAGGGTCTTAATACCTTCTCTGCCAAAGAGCACTTTTGCCTCTTCAAAATACAAATCCCAGGATACCATCGCATTGAGCTATGGCAGTTAAAGTGCTGTGAAATTACATTAGTTCTAATTCTCTGCCGTTTCTCATATATCAATAAAAACACTAGTGTAAGGGTGACTCTGGACCTAAGCTGTTACTCTGTCCAGGTAACATGAACTTCCCATAGAACTGGAAAAGTTTGCTTAGCACAATTGTGCAAGCCCTTCCATTCTGACTGATCTCTGTTGCACAACATCTCTGGCTTGGACTCCATGTTAACAGCAATATCTGAGGATGTAACATGAGCACCTGCTTGTCCAGTTTTGATGGATTCATTTCAATTGGTCCAGCTCAAGGATGTGGACAAGATCCTTGAAGAAGCAAGAGTGGCCACATGCATCCTAAACCCCTGCCCATCCTGGCTAATAAAGCCAGAGGGGGTTTGGTAGGGTGGGTGAAAGAGATGGTTAACGCCTCCTTACAGAAAGGCAAGACTCCAGCAAACTTAAAAGAAGCTGTAATTAAAATGCTGTTGAAAAAAACATAATTGGACCCCACCGAATTGAACAACTTTCGGCCAGTTTCCAATCTTCCTTTTTAGGCAAAGTCCTGGAATGTGTGGTTGCCTCACAACTCCTGGGGTTCTTGGAAGACACTGATTATCTAGACTCTGGCTTTAGACTGGGACATGGTACTGAAACAACCTTGGTAGCCTTAGTAGATGATCTAAGCTGAGAGCTGGACAGGGGGAGTGTGTCCCTGTTGGTTCTGCAGGACCTCTCAGCAGCCTTTGATACCGTTGACCACGGTATCCTTCTGGAACGCCTCGTGGATATGGGACTTGGAGGTACTGTTTTGCAATGGCTCTGGTCCTTCCTTGAGGACCATTCCCAGCAGGTATTGCTGGGGGACACCTGTTCGACCTCACATCCATTGACTTGTGGAGTCCCACAGGGATCAGTATTGTCCCCTATGTTGTTTAACATTTACATGGTCACTGGGAGAGATTATGCGGAGTGTTGGAGTGAGATGTCAGATGATGTTCAGCTCTATCACTACTTCCCAGCTGTTACTAAGGAGGCTGTTCAGGTCCTGAACCAGTGCTTGGCTGCTGTGATGGTATGGATGAGGGAGAACAAATTTAAATTGAATCCAAACAAGACAGAGGTCCACCTGGTCAGTCGCAAGACCGAACAGGGCATAGGGTTACAGCCTGTGCTAGATGGGGTCACTCTCCCTTTGAAGACACAGGTTCATAGCTTGGGAGTGATCCTGGAACCCCAGGTCTCGGTGGTAGGTGGGGAACTTTTGCACAATTAAAACTTGTGCACCAGCTGCATCCGTACCTTGAGAAATCAGACTTGGCCACGGTGGTCCATGGTCTCGTTACGTCCCGAATAGATTAGTGCAACACACTCTACATGGGGTTGCCTTTGAAGACTGCTCGGAAGCTCCAACTAATCCAATGGATGGCAGCCAGGTTGCTCACCACAGCGGCATACAGAGAGCAACCCCTCTGCCGGACCAGCTCCACTGGGTGCCAATCTGCTACTGAACACAATTTGAAGTGCTGGCTTTAGCCTATAACGCCCTGAACAGTTCTGCCCCAGCTTACCTGTCTAAACATATCTCCTGCTATGAACCATTGCGAAGTCTAAGATCGAAGGGAGAAGGCCCTGTTCTCGGTCCCACCATCCTCACAAACTCGACTGGTGGAAATGAGAGACAGGGCCTTCTCAGTGGTGGCCCCTCACCTGTGGAACTCTCTACCCAGTGACATTAGATTGCCCCCTCCCTCTTGTCTTTTAGAATGAAACTCAAAACCTGGTTATGGGACCAAGCGTTCGAGCAGTAGAGGCAGCAATTTAGAATGAGACCCAATTTGTGTGAATCACAGTGGACTGACCTGGACTATGATTTCAAACCTACATGATTTAAAAAATATTTTAGTAATTTTAAAGCACTAACAAATTGTTTTAATTGCTTTTATCGTTTATTACTGTTGTTGGCATTGAATGAATGCCTGTTGTGAAGCTGCCCTGAGTTTCTCTCTGGGGCTGAGAAGGACAGGATATAAATATGCAGAATAAATACATAAAACATGTCTGACAGGAGCAGGAAAACTCTTATCTGCTGACACTTTGGGGATTCATCCTGGCAATAAGCATATGCAAATCAGTAGTGACAATGGCACCTGTTGTCTGTCTCAGCCATTTTCTCATTTCTCTGTCAGTGTCTCTCTTTATCCAGTAAGCTGCCAGGATATGGATATAGAGCTCTTGTCAGAAGTCTAAATGCATAAGGCTTTGAAATGCAGTTGAAAACAGCATATGGCTGTAGAGCTGCAGGTTGCACACCCAATTTTCAGTATGTTTGAATATTTTTAATGTCCTGGTATCATAATCATTATAAGTTTATCATGACCAGCATTTAGCTTTGGAAAATGTTTATTAATTGAAGGCATTTACAGGCAGTCCCCAAGTTACAAACATCTGACTGACAAATAACTCATAGTTAAGAAAGGGAGAAAGACAACAGGAAATGAGAGAAATCTATCCCTAGGAAGGGAAATTCACTCCTGAAAGTGTTATCATGGGAAAGGGGGTCTCCACGGAAGCCTCTTCACCAATCCTTGTTTCCACAACTACCCAATGTTTTCAAAATCAGATTATCACAGGAACAGAAAGTGAGGTGAAATCATCTGAATGGCCATAGACAGCAAAACACCACCAGGGTGTTAATCTTTTTTTATCTTCCAAAGCTTTTAATAGAAAGATAGATAGATAGATAGATAGAGCTACACTCAAAATGTTCTTGTTCCAACTTACAAACAAATTCAACTTAGGAACAAGGCTACAGCACCTATCTTGTTCACAACTCTGGGACTGCCTATATATCCCACTCTTTACACACTCACACAAATTGCCAGAGCAGCTTATAAAATAGCATGATTGTCTAAAAAAAAAAAACCTCCCATGTTTACAACCTATACTTGAAACACCACACACAAGAAACATGGAGAGGGATTCAGAACTATAAAGACCACCTAAATGGAAACAGCTAAAATGGCTGCTCCCAGGTGACAGCTGAAGAGCCAGAGACACAATGCTGTCACATATGTAATGACATGCAGTGCCATTTTTGTTGGAAAGGGCCATTACTGCTCAGCAGGATAAACTGTTTTTTTTGAAGTCAGGTAACCAACAACAGAGTCTGAAAAACCAGTTGTTTTTTTTTCATGTCAGGAGCGACATGTGAAACTGCAATTTGCTTTTGGCGTGAGAGAATTGGCCGTCTCAAGGACGTTGCCCAGGGGATGCCCGGATGTTTTGATGTTTTATCATCCTTATGGGAGGCTTTTCTCATGTCCCGGCATAGAGAGCTGGAGCTGACAGAGGGAGTTCATCCATGCTCTTCCCAGATTTGAACCTCTGACCTCTTGGTCTTCAGTCCTACCAGCACAAGGGTTTAACCCACTGTACCACCAGAATTCACCAGATCTGTATGATTCACCTACCTTGGCTTCATCTAGGCAAATTTATCTTATTGATAGGTTGAGAATGCATTGCAGTTCTGATGCTAATGAATAAGCAAAAGACTAGCTAAATAAACCAGATCAGTCATCTAAACATAGCTCAATGCCTGGTAGCATCTTCCAGTATTTTGTCATATCATTTCCATGGGAAAATGTGCACCCACCAGAGGCGGCCCTAGGTAATTTTCAACGGTAAGCAAACTATTTTGGCACCCACCCCCCCAACCAATCACTGATATATATTTTTTGTTTGTCATGGGAGTTCTGTGCACCATATTTGGTTCAATTCCATCACTGGTGGAGTTCAGAATGCTCTTTGATTGTAGGTGAACTATACATCCCAGTAACTACAACTCGCATATGTCAAGGTCTATTTCCCCCCAAGAGCGCCTCAAGAGCGCCCCATGGCAAAATAAACTATACTGCAAATGCTTACTTTGCGTAATGGGTTGAGCCGCCCGACACCCACACTGTAGAATTAATGAAATTTGACACCATGGCTTCAATAGCTCAATGAAATGGAATCCTAGAAGCTGCAGATTGTCGGGTCACCAACCCACTTTGGCAGAGAAGACTAAAGATCTAGTAAGCCTGCAACTCCCACGATTTCGTAGCATCAAACCGTGGAATTTAAAGTGTTGTCAAACTTTCTAGATTGATCACAGTCTGGTTTGAGACCCAGGCACAGTACCGAGACGGCTTTGGTCGCCTTGGTGGATGACCTCCGCAGGGAACTGGACAGGGGGAGCGTGACCCTGCTGGTTCTCTTGGATATCTCAGAGGCTTTCGATACCATCGATCATGGTATCCTTCTGGGCCGGCTCTCCAGAATGGGACTTGGGGACACGGTTTTACTGTGACTTCGGTCCTTTCTGGAGGATCGTTCCCAGATGGTAAAGCTGGGTGACACCTGCTCGGACCCCTGGCCATTGACCTGTGGGTTCCGCAAGGTTCCATTCTGTCCCCCATGCTTTTCAATATCTATATGAAACCGCTGGGAGAGGTCATCCGGAGTTTTGGAGCTAGGTGCCACCTCTATGCAGATGACACACAGCTCTACTACTCCTTTCCACCGGAATCCAAGGAAGCCCCTCGGATACTGGACCTCGGATACTGGCGGGTTATAAATAAAGTATTATTATATGCACAATGGAGGACCTTCTTGCAGCAACACCAGAAGCACTCCAAGTGGCTAGATACTGGTCAAAGGACATCTAGTCAACTACCAAACTCACAAATTTTGTATTCTGTATTTTGTCTGTTTGTTTGCTTTGTTGTTAGAAATGTAATATAATTGACTGGTTGCTGATGACTCGATAAATACATTATTATTATTAATTCTACAGTGCGGATACCAAAACCTTTTGATCTATTTCCTTTTAAGAAATCAGAGCTCTGAAACGTGACTTTGATGGACCCATAATCCGAGGCCATAGTATTTGGGGGATCAAGTAGTTGCAGATTAAAAAATGTCACTCTCCATAAAAAACATCCTCATTTAGAAAAATCACATTCATTTTATCCTCCTAAACATGTAAGAACTGTCGTTGCGAAGGGCCCGGCCCTGAGCTCACCTGGGCGGGGTGTTTTGCTCTTACTGTGGTGTCTAATCTGAATTTGAGGCCCACGAAGGCCCCCAACGTTGCTCAGCAACGCAGGAAAGTGGGTCAGGCCACAAAAATAACCGAGCCACAAAGCCAACCGGCCTCCCCTTCCGAGGCGCCAAGCTCCGCCCTTTGCGCAGAGGAAGAATTCAATTCAACTCCGGAGCTGATTCCGTTTGCGCTTGCGCAGTGACACCCACTACTTCGTTTATTTACGCCTCCATTGCCCCTCGGCGCCAATCACGCATGCGCCCTGGCTCCCACTCAGGAAGCACCCGCCGCAAGCATGCGCAGTGGGTCGGGGCGTTATTCTTTGCGCCTGCGCAATGGCACGACCCTGCTCCTCCGACCCTACAGGACATGCGCAACGAGAAGGCGACCAGTCCGTCGCGCATGCGCAGTAGGTTTTTCCTCTCTCACTTCACCCAGCCCGGTTGCAGTCTATTCGTTCCTGTTTTTGTTGAGTGCCTCGCTCCTCCGCTTGGCGCGTGCAAGAGAGAGAGAGAGGAGAGGGAGGAAAGGAGGGAGGAGGAGGTTACACGTGACCAGCGCCCACCGTCCCGATTGGCCGGCGCCCGAACAAGGCGGTTGGTACTGGCGCCGACCGGTTGGGGCTGGTTTTTTTCCCCGCGCAGGCGCAGCCCGTCCCGCTGAGAGAGGAGAGAGTGGGAGAAGAAGGGCGATGGCGGCGGACGGGAGTCCTGACGCGGGCCTAGCCGGGATGGCCGAGGAGGCGCGCGGGGAGCCGCAGGGCGCGCCCGGAGGCAGCCCCGACCCCGTCGCCGCCGCCTCCTCCTCCGCCAACGAGCAGGCCCCGGCCAGGCCTGACGCTACGGGGCCGGAAGCGGATCCGGAGCGCGTCGCCGCCGCCGTGGGCAGCCGCGGAGCGCGGCGCTTCCTCTGCGGGGTCGTGGAAGGTAGGAAGTAAGGAGAGGCCCGAGAAGGAGGCCGAGCCGCCGCCAAACAAAGCCGCCCACCATTCTTTCCCCCCTTCTTGTGGCCTCAGGCCCCGCCTGGGGAGCGAAAACAGAAAATAAAGGGTTCAGTCGGTTTCGCATCGGTTAGATCAGGCCTGGGCAAACTTGGGCCTTGCAGGTGTTTTGGACTTCGACTCCCACAATTCCTAACAGCCTCAGGCCCTTTCCTAAGCGGCTGAGGGGGGACAGGAAGGGGCCTGAGGCTGTTAGGAATTGTGGGAGTCGAAGTCCAAAACACCTGCAAGGCCCAAGTTTGCCCAGGCYTGCTATAGATCTTGTAAAACTACAACTCCCGTGAGCCCACAAAGCACGGAGCTATAGCACTTAATGTGCTGTAGGGCCTCATTCTACAGTGGAGATGCATCCTCAATGCTATATGATCACGGAAGTTTTTATTTATTTATTTGCCACATTTATGCCCCGTCTTTCTCAACCCTGGAGAGGACCCAAGGTGGCTTTRCAGAGAGGCAACTCTTCGAGGCCTTAAAACTATCTATATAAATAAAAATGTAATGTGGGATTAACAGAACTCAACAACCACTGGGCGAATTGTCACCAAATTTGGACACAAGACACCTAACAACCCAATGTATGTCCTTCACTCATAAAAACACAGCAGAAGGGACTTTAAAAGCCCCCAAAAGGTAAATGATGAAAAGTTAAATGACAATACAGAAAAAAGTGAAGGAAGGGGAGAAAAGAAAGAGGGAGGGAAAGAAAAGGAAATGGAGAAGGAAGGAAAGAGGCAGCCAAGGAAGAAAGGAGAGAAAGAGGGGAAGGAAGGAAAAAGAAGGAAAGAAAAAAAGTGGGGAAAGGGGGAAGATGAAGAGAAAGAGGGAGGGAAGAAAAGAGACAGCAGAAGAGAGAAAAAGGGGGGAAGGAAGGAAAGAGATAGAGAAGGGAAGACGGGAATGAAGGAAGGAGGGAAAGAAGAGGGGAAGGTTGGCCACAGCAAAGTGTTGTGGGTACAGCTAGTAATAATAATAATAATAATAATAATAAATTTTATTTAGTACCCAGCCACCATCTCCCCAACGGGGGCTCGGGGCGACTTACAGGAGGCCAAGCCCAACAGCATATTACAATAAAATAAAAACCAGAATACAGTAAAATACATACAATATATGAATACGAAAAACAATATAAAATGCAAAACAGAATCATACACAGTAAAATAACAATGATCGGGCCGCATATGCAAGATAAAATACTAATACTAAAAAATTCAATTAGGGTGAGATAGGAATGGAGCAGATTGTTTGTGAGGGAGAAACTCATAAAGAAACGGGGTCGAAAATAGACCTTCGTACAGGCGGGGAAATATACTCTGGCGACAAAAACATTGAGGGGGAGTATGGCTACTCTCAAAGCGCAATGGAAAAGCGAGGTTTTAAGATCCCTCTTAAAAGTTTCTAGGGTGGGGGCAATGTGCTATCGAAGTAGATAGTTTGAACTAGAATTTAAAACACATTAAAACATTTAAAAACATTACATTCACTATTAACCACACGATCCGCACTGGTAGTCTTGGGCATTCCAGTTACCATTGCACATACTTCCATATCCATCTATTGCACTACAGTTGCTCTCCAATGGCCCAAGGCCACTCTCTTTCAGAAGGTCAGAAGGGAGAGGGCTGATCTAGTTGTAGTTTTACACGTTCTTTAGCTTTCTCTGCCAAAAATGTGCTGTCGTCTCACCCTCCAACTCCAAGGATTCCATAGCACTGAGCCAGGGCATTTAAAGTGGTGCTGGACTGTATTAATTCTATAGTGTAGAATGATGGATGCATCCACAGCGAGAAAGTTCATTACGTTTATTCATTTATTTGTTTATTTACTTTGTTTATACCCTGCCTTTCTCTATCCCGAAGGGGACAGAAGGTGGCTTAAATAGAGGTAATTATTCCATGCCTTAAAACACATGACAATTGTAAAAAATTAAATTAGATTAAAATTGAAACATATTAACATTTAAAAACATTCCATTCCATGTTAAAATCACGCCATCCACGGACCTAATCTTAATGTCACTGGGGAGGGAGGTCCATAGCTGAGGGGTCACCACCAAGGAGGCCCTGTCTCTCGTTCCCACCAGTCCTGCCTGCAAAGGAGGCGGGACCGAGAGCAGGGCCTCCCTGGATGATGTTAATATTCAAGATGGTTCATAGGGGGAGATACGTTCGGACAAGTAAGCTGGGCCATAATAGTTACAACAGAATAGTTACAAACATGATTTACAGATGTTTAAACAGTGTAAGCTTCTCCGTGACATATGCTCTACTTATTGCATAAGTGCCCCAAGCAAAAACGTTAAGAAATTGTGGTGTATGCTAAGAAGACATCCAAGAAACCCTCAGCACGTTCAATGACGAACCTAGTTGATGTTTGATGCTACTCAAATGATTAGATGATGCATAAGAGTACAGTAGTCTTCGTTGTAGATATATGCGCTTGATTATACATTTTGGGGTCCTTCCAGCACAATGTGAACAATACAGTTTGTTACATCTTTTTATACTATGCTGTCCTTATAGTCTGCAGAATGTCAAAGCACCAAAAAGCAGTGGCGCTAAATACGTTGTGATTTGAGTGCCATAACTTTTTGGTCCTCCGAGGTTCTTCTCAGGATGAATAGTAGAGGCTGTCTTCAAGTTATGAACAAGATATGTTCTGTATGTTTGTTCTTAAATTGAATTGGTATGTAAGTTGGAACAGATACATTTTTAAATGTACCTCCAGCCAAGTACATATGTATGTATGTGTATATGAGGTTTGGAAAGCATAGGAAGGGTTAAAACCCCTGTGGTGTTTACTTTGCTGTGCCCCTGTTCAGAAGATATCATCTCACTTTTCTGCCCCTGTGATAATTGGATTTTGAAAAAAAAATGGCTTGTTGTGGAAGCAAGTTTTGGCGATAAAACTTCAGGGAAGAATTTCCCTTCCAAGGCATAGATTTCTCACACTTTCTGTAGTTGTGTCCCTCCCCCCCCCCCCATTCTTGACTATGAGTCATTCGTAAGTCATGTTTGTAACTCGAGGACTGCCTGTATAGGGTTTGTTTCAACAATGTACGAGTTAGTAAGGAGTGGATTCATTGTTTTTGTATAATCTTGTATAATCTTCAAATCTAATGTAAGAAGATTTATTTATGTAGCAGTAATTAAAACAAGATAATTCAAAGTCTGGATAGGAGTTAATCGTTTTTATCCAGAGAGTAATCTGTATTTAGTTGTCTTTCTAATTTGCGCATCCTGTGGCAAGTTGCATATTTCTTTTCTACGACAAAGAAGATCGATGTACAGTGTTCCCTCACTTATCGCGGGGGTTCCGTTCTAGGACCACCCGCGATAAGTGAAAATCCACGAAGTAGAGAAGCCATATTAATTTTAATATTCATACATTACTACCTGTCCCCTGCCATGCGTTGCCTTTTATATATTAAGATTTTATATATTTCATATATTATTTTCTTACCCGCGCTTCCTTACCCGCCTCCTGGCCCATCCCAAGGGCACCTGCCTGCCTCTCTGGCCTTCGCAGAGCCTCCGGAGCCACGCAGGCGGCAGCAGGCCATAGAGACAGGCCTTCCCCGCAGCGCCTCAGGCCACCGCACTTCCGGGGTCTGTGGAGGCCAGGGAGGCAGGCCGCTGCACTTCCGGGGTCCCTGGCCTCCACTGGACGTAAATACTTAAACCCGTGAAACAGCGAGTCTGCTAAAAGCGAATCGCGAAGTAGTGAGGGAACACTGTACTCAGAATTTGGGTTATAGGCTGTAGTTCCAGCCCAAGTAGAACAGAGGTTTGCAGTTGTACCTAAGCTAATAATAACTTATAAAGAATTTGGATGGGAAGGAAGAGAAGCCATATGATGAAAAAGGTGCATTACAAGCGAAATTTGTGTTTTTTAAAAATAATTGATATAATGTTAAAAATGCCTGTTGTTCGCAATCTTTTGCTTTAAAGAAAATGCTCAACTGCAGTGTAACTCATTTTGATTGTGTTGGCATTTGTGCTAAAGTATATCCAGTACAGTATATCCAATCTCTCCCTCCATCATTTTGGCATAAAATGCTTCCCATGAAAACTGCCATATTGGTGGTGTTAGCAATCAAAAATGACTGATAGAAATGGTCTGCCTGTATTTACAGTACCTTCCCACACTACATTCATTGTGTTGCTACTGTTAAAGAAGTCTTTTGCTTCCTATAAGGCTTTCATACATGATTCGGTTAAAAATGTGGCTGACGGAACCCTTCCTTCTTGACTCTGACCTTACAGTGTGTTTCCTCTTTTCTCCCCATGCTCCCGTTCCAATTTCAGAACTGAATAGGGCAGTAGATTTTTATTGGTTACTGCACCACCAAAGGACCATTCCCATCCAACCTTGAGGATGGCTTTTGCTCATTTATGCAGCTATGATATAAGTTGGAGTTGACCCACAAGTACACATAGCAACAAATGGTTATACGGAAGACAGGAGTTTCTCACATTCACAAAAAGGAAACAAGTGGTTACATTTTTGATAGTAATATAAAGTGAGGTGTCTGTTTAGTTTAATGAGATATGAATATCCACAGAGGTGGGTCTCCATGAGTTTTTTTAATAATCAAACCTCGAGGAATACTGTAAACAGTTTTCTCATCATTCTTATAGGGAAATGTGGTTCTGTTCTTAGAAAGCATAGCTAAGCATTTCAGAAGGATTTTTGATGCCTGAACTGTCCTCACAAAACTACAGGAGATGGTTATTGCATATGACAGCTAGCTATAATGTCAAGCACTTGTGTATTGGATGCATTTATATGTGTGGTGAACAGTCAACAAGCACTTAAGAATTGTGAGTAGGGTTGTATTAATGCCATAGGCACTCTGGTCGTATACTTAGTTCACACTAGGGGAAGAAAAATATTAATCTTTTGTCTCATCTAAATATATTTGAGGCCTTTTAGAAATAGCTGTATAGTGCAATAGATTTTTAAAGCTTTTGTACTCTAGAATTGAGCTTTATACTTGCTTAAGTTGAAGTATAATATCTGAAGCTGTCTATCTTTAATGTTTCCAACAGGATTTTATGGAAGGCCTTGGGTTATGGAACAAAGAAAGGAGCTTTTTAGAAGGTATGTAACCCATTCTTTATTCTGCAGCATTCTACTATGTGATTATTAAGCTGTTTAAAACAAAATCTCTTGAGGGGGCTAAGTAAGGCATATGATCCCAAAAGCAAGTGGCAAAAATATAAAAATCAATACAAAAATTACTCAATTTTTAAAAGCAAGCAAAGCATATAGGAGCCATGCAGAATGTGATCATGGTTTTTTAAAAGTTGATCTTTGCTGCTGCTTTCAGATTACTGTGTTTTAAAAACAGATAAATGGAACATATTGGGGTGAGATGGACTCTTTTTAAGGAAGATTAGATTACCTAGAGATTTCCTTCTTAAATCTTTGATATAGAGACCCTGCCTTTCTGTTTTACTTACACCCTACTCTATATCTAACACCCCAAAGCAATGTATAGATTAAACCATATACACTTGAAACAGAAGTAAATTAATTAGGTTAAGAGTTTAAAGCAAATGAAGATATAAAATATGTACAGATTTTGATAAAATCATCAAACAACAATGTATATGGTGGGCATTGTAGTGTGGGTATAGGAAACTGTGGTCAGAGCTACCAAATTAAACACCATGAACATAAAGTGTGTGTGATACATATTGCTCACCCATGGTTTACATAAAACTACTGGGAAATATAATCATAAATACATTGATAGCACTGTAACCTTTGAAAGCATTCTTGTAGTTTGTAAAAGACTAAATGAGTCTGCATATTCTGAATAAAAGTGATCATACTAGGGAAATCAGGCCCCTCCCAGTAGACTTAAATCAAGGAAGAGTTTCATGAGAACCACCACTCCTCTAAATGCTCCCCCAGCAACATCAAGATAACCCTGTGGGATACGAGGGCCTTCCTCCAGGGGCAAACAAAAAATGAGCAACTTGGAAGTCCCTGGCCAGACTCAGAAGTAGCTCAAAAGACAACCTGGCAAAATGGCACTGTCTGGAAGAATCCTCCACCTTTAACTTGGCGAACTGGTTTTATATGTATGTTATTTTATTGTATTTTTATCTATTGTTATGTATGATGTTTATATGGCTTTATTTGTTAGCATTGAATCCTTGTTGTGAACCGTCCTGAGTCCCTCTACGGAGGTTAGAGAAGAACGGTATATAAAAGTTTTAAATAAATAAATAATTTTTTGTTTTTAAATTGTTTTTAAATGGTGTTAGATTTTAGCCTGTTCTTGTAAGCCGCTCCGAGCCCCAGGGGAGTGGCGGCATATAAGTTTGAATAAATAAATAAATAAAATAATACTATTGTGGAGCAGAACAAACGACTCAGCATCTGTGTGCTTGCCCACAATGCCCTGCCTCATGCACAGAGGAAGAACTGTTTAAAGCTACAGACATGTGGTCGCTGTTGCCCATTTTTGGTCTTAAATTATTTAGCCACTTGTGCTCCCTTTATTTTAGCAATTTTTTACTTATTTATTTATACAATGCTTTTGACACAAAATAAATAAACTGGGGAAACATAGTGAATCATTGGCTGTAGATATGTGTCCTCGGAGTGAGGAAACATTCACTTCTAAACCGGCATTGCCAGATATTATGATGCTACAGATTCTTAGGGATAACTGTAATGTAAAATACCCTTTGAGCCCCAGCTCACGCATGAGTTCTAAAAGACAAGCTGCATGATATACATAGTCTCCATTTATTATTATTATTATTATTATTATTAATAATAATTGTCACATTAGTTAAATTTATCTTCCTTGTTATGATTGTTTCTCTGCCCCTCTCTTTTTCCTGCCAAAGAAACCGTTTTCTAGGAAAGGAACAGTGATATTTTCAGAGAGCTGCATGTGGCCATAGGGCTGTAGTTTCCCTGTACTAGAAGTCATCATCCTTAAGTATACTTAGCTATACAGTTCAGAGAGCTGTGAGTTAGACCAGTACACTTAAAACTACTGTTTTTCTCTGTTTCATAGACTTCAGAAATGGGGATTAAATACATATCTATATGCACCAAAAGATGACTACAAACACAGGATGTTTTGGCGAGAAATGTATTCTGTGGAGGAAGCTGGTAATTAATCTTACAATTTTAAAGTAGTTATTCATTGAAATGTGCACTTGTTCAGTGAGTCAAGATCTACAGTGTCCTAACCATGGCCCACAAGACTGTGTGCTTTATCCTACAAATGTGTGCATAGATTTACCACATTATTTCATTTTTCAGTGAACTCTAGTGCAGCATATGTCTGCACCAATCCATAAATTGAATATCCACTTGTAATCAATGATTTGTAACTAGGCCTCTGTAACACTATAATGCTTTTGCATATTCGTGCACAAAAGGTTAATTTAGATCTTTAAATTAACCCACCAACGCATTCATTTGAGGATTAAAGCAGCAAAAGAAAATGTATTAATTTCAAACCCTAAAAAGTCATTATATTTTTACAAAAACTTGTTTTGCAAGATGACTGAAAGGGATAAAGATACTACCTTTAGGTAGGACATCAATTTTTGGATTTCTTGTGAAAGGCGAAAGAGAAAGGAAATAATTTCATGTAAACTGATACTCGTGGCCTGATCCTCTTGTTTGAGTTTATGTGAAAGGACCAGTTCTCCATCAGAGGAGAAAATTGCCAATTCCCCTACTGTACAACATCTGAGGTCATCTAATGTGATCCCTTCTGTTCATCTCCTTTGCAAATTAGTGATATACTTTCTGTTTCCTCTCTGGCTTGTCATCCACCATCTCCACCTCATTGCTCACCTCACAGTTCCTGCTGCCGTCTCCAGACTACTTCTTTGTCTGACACATCCTCTACATTTTCTGAGTCATGTATAATTCGGACTTGATATCATTGTGGATCTGTCTCGTGTTGATATAGTTGTTTCCTTGAGGGCCATGACAAATACGATCATTCCAGTAGATTCGCCTTGTCTCCAGTTTGAAAATTGTACATCTTCTGGCTATGATTATAAAGACGATGACTATGATTGGTACTTCCCAAAAGAAAGAGAGTGCATGGAGCAACCATTGGAGTCATAGAGAGCAGAGAGAGATGATGATCAAAGTACCATCATAGTGGGGAACAAAATAGGGTGCTTATAGCCCCCAAACTATCTCTCAGATCAAAGAACCTGGCTGTTGAATGTCAGGTCAGTAAATAGAAAAAGCAAATGCCACCCAAGACCTGATTCTGGATATCCTGCACTACAGAGACCTGTTGGATGAAAATGATGGGAGTTAATCTCTCTCAGCTCGTTTTATTTTGTACAGCAGCAAGCAAGACGCAGGTGCAGGGAGTTGCAGTGGTTGTTGTGATTCTATCCCCCTGACTAGGTGACTCAGCTCACAGTCTGCAGAGTTTCTGTATACCTAAAGGTGGGTAGCAAGGACAGAATAGGGATTCTGTTGGTGTGCCACCTGCCCTTCTGTTGCTCAACAGCCTTCTTTCCTGAGCTACCTGCTCAAACAAGGCAGAATGAAGCTGACATCTTGCTTAGTTTCATGCACCATCTATAGGTTTGGTGCGTGAAAAGGAACATGTGCATCATAGCAATCCCTTTTATGGAAGAGGAGAATGTCCTAGTGAATGCTCTCAATAAGTCATATTGTGTTGTGAATGGAAGCTCCATCCTGACATTTTGAAAGTAGACTTGACTGTGTGGAACAGCCCAGAAGTGGGTCTCTTTGCCGCCATCCTGATTGCCCACTGTAGATGTTTCCTATCTTTTTCATTTGGGAGGTCACCTTATGTATGCTTTTCCTCTCATCACCAGAGTTCACGTTTTGAAGACACAATTCGAAGTGCATTCTGATTGTTTTGTGTTGCCCCAGGCAGCTGTGGTTTGCCCTTCTGTTGCATTTGTCTCAAGGCAACAGTAACAAGCTTCTAAACCATCCAGACAATCTCACAATTCATTAAATACTAGATGAACAGGGCTGATGCTGGCTTTGGGAAAAGAGTTTAATATGACGCTCCCTCTACCTAAGGATAATAGCTTTGTATGAATCACAGAGATCACAAAAAAAGGGGACAGGTTGTATACCGGTGACTGCGGTTCTTCAAGTGGTTATCTGTGAAAGTACACAACCCTGCCCATCTTGTCACCTTCATGTCCTGCTTCTCCGTATATACTTAAAAGCTGTTATTTAGGCGTCCATGGAAGAGTGAGTTGACAGAAAGTGAGGATATGAGGTGCCCAAGGGTGAATGGGAATCCCACCAAAAACTGTATATAATAGCTCTAAAAGGTTCTGAACAGTGCACTGCAGGTATCAGTAACCCAAATGTTTAAGTTTATAAATCAGTAGAAGAACCTCTGTTACAGTTATGCAATTTGTTCTAACTGTCTGTTAGTGTGTGCATATCTATTTTATTTATCACTGGTAGAGATCATATAAAAATGAATCTTTTCTGTTAAGATACTAATTTTTCATGTTTTATTCCCTCTTAATATTTAAAAATCTTTTTGTTGATATTTAGAAATATTACAGTGTATCTATGAATTATTTTTTCCTTGGTTGATTCTAGCTAAAATAATTAACTTTGATTTCTAGAACAACTCATGACTCTGATCGCAGCTGCTCAAGAATATGAGATAGAATTTATCTATGCCATTTCTCCTGGGCTCGATATTACTTTCTCAAACCCCAAGGAAGTGTCTACATTGAAACGCAAGCTGGACCAGGTATTTTTCATTTTTGTATGTATGTATGTTGATGGTGGTGTTGCTGTTAATGTGCCTTCAAATCATTTATGACTTAGGATGGCTCTAAGGCTGTCATGGGATTTTCTTAGCATGGTTTGTTCAAAAGGGCTTTTTCTTACTCAGTTTCTAGCCGTCTGTCTCTCATAAAAATTCAGTGTGGCTAAGAGCCTTAAAGAAAAACACCAAGTTAAAAGTTAGAATCTACAAATATTTTGAATCAAAAGTTTGATGTCAAAAATTTAAAAACTCAATTTGTAAGTTACATAAAGTACATGCTAAAATATAGTAAAAGCAGTACAGTCAAACATCAGAGAGAAATACTTGCTTGTTATCTAAAAGCCCATTGTTGCATCCCGTATAGACTACTGCAGCGCGCTCTACGTGGGACTGCCCTTGAAGACTGCTCGGAAGCTTCAAATGGTCCAACAAGCAGCTGCCAGGTTATTAACAGGAGTGGCGCTCAGGGAGTGTACAACCCCTCTGTTGCGCCAACTCCATTGGCTGCCAGTCTGCTACCGGGCACAATTCAAAGTGCTGGCTTTAGTGTTTAAAGCACTAAACCGTTTCAGCCCAGCTTACCTGTCCGAACGCATCTCTCCCTATGAACCATCTAGGTCTTTAAAATCGTCTGGAGGGCCCTGCAGACAAGATGTAAGCACCTTGGGGTTTGAGAGACAGAGCCTTCTCAGCAGTGGCTATGGATCACCCTCCCTAGGGGTATTAGAACAGCCCCCTCCCTCCTAACATTTCGAAAGAGAGTAAAAACCTGGCTTTTTGAACAAGAATTTGCAGGTGCAGTGTAACAGGCTATTTTAGATCCATGGAATGATTAGACGATATGACTAGAAAATGATTTTAGTAATGAGACATTGAGGACTTGTGTTTTATTGTTTTTATTGCCTTTATTGTTTTATATTATTTATATTATATGTTAATGTTTTAACTATATTTTATGTTGTTGAGGGCATTGAATTTTGCCTTTTGTAAACCGCCCTAAGTCGCCTCCAGGCTGAGAAGGGCGGTATATAAATACGGTAAATAAATAAACTGGTGCCTCAAAGACAAAAGCGTCTTAGATTAAAAGAAATTTTATAACTGGAATTACCATCAAGAAGTCCTACCACAGTAGGGGAATGGAACTTACCGTAACTGAAATTTCTTGGGAATAAATCATGAGGCAGATAGATTATAATAATAGTTCTGTATGCTTTATCTATTTTTATTCCCTGACACATCTTTCTATGGAATTCAGTGCAGAGGAGCAATAAATATAATTCAGTGTCTACACTACCCATAAGTAATTGTTACATGCAAAAAAGACTGTAGCCGTATATCTCAGTTATCAACTGGGATAGTATATCTGCTTAACTTGCCTTACATCAGCACACTCACTTTGCTAATGTTCCTCTGACTGTGACTTATTTTAATCTTGTTTTATACTAGAAAATTAAAAATTCAATTGGGGCACAAAAATAGTGTAAAGTGTATGCAAGCAAAAATTACTTTCAGGAAGAATAGCTTGACACAGCAAGTTGTGTCCTGAGTAATTTTAAATAATTAATGGCTGTTAGATTGTCATGAATTAATTTTTGTGTTGTATTGGTCTTTGTTCTAATACATTTTTATCCCCACTTTCTTTCCTAGGTTTCCCAGTTTGGTTGCAGATCTTTTGCATTATTGTTTGATGATATTGATCATAATATGTGTGCAGCAGACAAAGAGGTGTTCAGCTCCTTTGCTCATGCCCAGATTTCAATCACAAATGAAATTTTCCAGTATCTAGGAGAGCCAGAAACATTCCTGTTCTGTCCCACAGGTATGATGATAATACAAATGCAGGTTTTTAGTAGGAGTAGGATCAAGAGCTTTCTTGTTCATGTTGAAGCATACTTACTTTCAGCTATTCATATCTCTTGAAGGCAAGATTATGCAATCCTTTTATACAGCATGATAGATAAGAAGAATTTTTGGTCAGCAAAGGTGGCTAGCCTTGCTGATTACACTAGAAATTTTGGTCCTCAGCTCTGTCATTATAAGCATCCTTTTCATGGAAGATTTAGAAGGAAGGAAGATTAGTGCTACTATTTAAGGCTTACTAAGTGTCATGTTTGTTTAGAGGATTTATAGCCTGCCTTTTGAGGTTCAGGGCATGTTGACATAGATTGCATTATGCGAAACACACAGTGACCTCAGGGAATGTGCTCAACATGTTTAGGTCTCATGTGTGCATCCTTTTCATGTCTGCAGTACCAGGACCACTAACAATTTAAACTTAAGTGTTCTGTCTAGTGGGACAGGAAGTTGGAGCAGCCTCCTTACAGCTACTTTTCCATAGGCCATTATAAAGCAAGGGTTGTCTTCAAATGGTAGGGGATAAAATCAGCTCATGGACAACAAGTTAAATGGGAGCCAACAAAGTGATGCAGCAGCTTTAAAAGCTAATGAGATTTTGGTCTGCACAAATAAGAGTATAGTACCTAGGTCCATGGGAGTCATGCTACCCCTCTGTTCTTCCTTGGTCAGACCACACCTGGAATACTGTATCCAATTCTGGGCATTACAATTAAAGAGAGATGTTGACAAGCTGGAATATGTCCAGAGGAGGGCGATTAAAATGATCAAGGGTCTGGAGAACAAGCCCTATGAGGAGCGGCTTAAAGAGCTGGGCATGTTTAGCCTTCAGAAGAGAAGACTGAGAGGAGATATAATAGCCATGTATAAATAATATGTGAGAGGAAGTCATAGGGAGGAGAGAGCAAGCTTGTTTTCTACTGCCCTGGAGACTTGAACAATGGCTTCAAACTACAGGGAAGGAGATTCCACCTGAACATTAGGAAGAACTTCCTGATTGTGAGAGCTGTTCAGCAGTGGAACTCTCTGCCCTGGAGTGTGGTGGAGGCTCCTTCTTTGGAGGCTTTTAAACAGAGGCTGGGTGACCATCTGTCGGGTATGCTTTGAATGCAGTTTTCCTGTTTCTCGGCAGGGGGTTGGACTGGATGGCCCACAAGGTCTCTTCCAACTCTATGATTCTATGCTAGTGACTTAGAAAATTGAAAATGTTGGGATGTGTTTCCTTTCATTTATAAATACTTTTTGTTATTCCAGAGTATTGTGGCACTTTTTGCTATCCAAATGTCGCTCAGTCTCCTTATTTACGAACTGTTGGAGAAAAGCTGTTACCTGGAATTGATGTGCTATGGACAGGTGAGTATTGTGCTTTTTCCAGATTGATTTGAGCAAAGATCACACATTAAATAAACCTTTCACATTAAAATATGTAGTTCTTTGTTGAAGCCTTACTAGTCCGCTGTATAAATAATTTCATAATCATATTTTTTGTCCTTTTATCTTCCTTTTTTATATACATTTAGGTCCCAAAGTAGTATCTAAAGAAATTCCTGTGGAATCCATTGAAGAAGTTTCTAAGATAATTCGCAGAGCTCCAGTCATTTGGGACAACATTCATGCTAATGACTATGATCAGAAAAGATTGTTTCTTGGGCCGTATAAAGGTCGATCTACAGAACTCATCCCACGTTTAAAGGGAGTCCTGACCAATCCAAACTGTGAATTTGAAACCAACTTTGTTGCTATTCACACTCTTGCAACCTGGTACAAATCTAATATGAATGGAGTGAGGAAAGATGTTGTAATGAGTAAGTAGATTATATGATGTAAACTCTATTGGAAAGCAATCCTTATAGAATACTGTGCATCCTAAAGTGAAATTTCTACTTCAAAGCAAATGGCTTGTTTTAGAAAATGTGATTTTGTTCCAGACTCTCTTAAACAGGCAACTAGATTGATAGGAAGATATAGTAATTTGCTTATTCCTGTTTTTTAAAAGCAGTGTTAATGTAGTAAAAATAGCTTCATTGTAGGATTTCACACAATTTTTCTATGCCTTTCATTGCCACTCCACCCCCATACACAGCCTCTGCTGCTACCTTATGTCATTTTTCATAGGAATTCGCAAGGCTTATAGTCCCTTTTAAAGTGGTGTAGGGCAGGAAGCAGAAATGGGAACATATTTCCTCACATAGTTGTACTGCCCCCCCCCCCGGAGGGGGTTCACTTCCCTCCCCCACCGGCCTTCTTTTGGTGCCGTTTTTGCCTTTTGCAAAAGGGTGTGTGACTATTGTGTACTGACAACTATTGTGCGATTAAATACAGTAATCCACTGATAATCAAATTCATGAAAGTGGGGGGCTGACTGTAATTGAAAAGTGTGGACAACATTAAGTTGTGCAGGTTGTAGACTTGTTAATCTTGAGCAAATGTCACCTCCAGTTGCTTTGTGGTAGAGATTATGTAGTCAGTTTTTAAAAAAATTACATACATTTCAGTAGCAAGGCCAAACCACAGTACTTGCATGAACTTATTTTAAAAGAATGCTAATGTATGTTCTTTCTTTAGATTATTCTCATGACTTGATAAGTTACAAAACTATGTTTACTTTTCATCTTTGAATAATATCCATGACATTCATGAATTTGTCTTACCAATATATTCTTTTCTTGACATTCGTTACAGCTGACACAGAAGACAGTACAGTTTCAATCCAGATTAAACTGGAGAATGAAGGGAGTGATGAAGATATTGAAACAGATGTTCTCTACAGTCCGCAGATGGCCTTGAAGTTGTCACTAACAGAGTGGCTGCAAGAATTTGCAGTACCTCACCAGTACAGCAGTGAGTGAGACCTATAGTTTCACTACAATAGAAGCTTTGAAACAATTGGAAAAGTAGCTTTCAGACCCTTCAAAGAAATTGCAGAAAAATATTTCTGCAAAGCATTATTGTTTCAATTCCATAATGCACAGATACATTATTTTAGTTTTAAACAATTCAAAATTATGTTTGCTTTTATATTGTCCTGAAAACTTTGATGAAATCGGTATTGTTCAAGTGCAAGCAAAAATTGGTTATAGTAGCAAGTCTTTGTATTAGTATCCTAAAGGAAAGAAATATGTATATGACACCATTTTGTTAGCCATGTTCTTTAATAACATGTAATTACCACTTAAATCAGCATTCATTTTTGTTGACAATGTAAGTGAAAGTTCTACCTTTAAAGGATCGACCTGAATATTAATTTGCCTCTGTTTCAGAAATTCATGCATTCTTGTGAATTTCACAATTATCTGTCGGGCCTCTTCAAAATAGGCGTCAATGTGTCACATTTACACGATTTTACACATGTTGGGGTATGGTGTTTGTAAACATATCATTCAGATGCAAGGAAAAGGTTCTGTGAAATAGTTCATAGGGTTGAATTGAGTCTGAATCTTCTCTTTGTTTACAGGTCGGCAGGTGGCTCACAGTGGAGCTAAAACAAGTGTTGTGGCTGTTCCTCTGGTTGCACCATCTGCTTTAAATTCCACCACAGTAGTAACAACAGTTTACCAAGAGCCTATAATGACTCAAGCGACTGCACTGAGTGATGAGTCTCAGGCTCTGGTCAAAGAGGAAGAGAAGAAGCAACTGGATGATGAACCGATGGATATGGTGGTGGAAAAGCAAGAGGACACTGATAAGAATATAAATCAAATATTGACTGACATTGCTGAAGCAAAAATGTCAGAGGAACTAAAACCAATGGACACCGATAAAGAGAGCATGGCTGAATCAAAATCTCCTGAGATGTCAATGCAGGATGATTGTGGTAGTGATGTTGCACCTATGCAGACAGATGAGCAAATGAACAAGGAGCAGTTCATTCCTGGTCCCCATGAGAAGCCATTATATGAAGCAGAGCCAGTGACTCTGGAAGACCTACAGTTACTTGCAGACTTGTTCTATCTCCCATATGAACATGGGCCCAAAGGGGCACAAATGTTACGAGAGTTCCAGTGGCTCAGAGCAAATAGTAGTGTTGTTAGTGTGAATTGCAAAGGAAAAGATTCTGAAAAGGTGAGTGGGTGTTTTATTTTAAGTGCAATTTTGTATTAAAAATTGAATAAAATAATAAAGTAAATACGTTACTGACCTGGATCTGTATAAAACATATTTGGGGTAGGTTAGTTGGCCATACAGCAAAATTCAACAAAATCCCAAATCTGATAATTTTATCGGGCCAAGTAAAATACACAAAATGCATTATACAAGCTAAAATGCCTGTAAAGGTTAGAACAGTCAACCCTCTTCATCCATGGATTACAGCATCCAAAACTTAAAAATATTTTTTAAAATCCAAGGACAAACTTACGTCATTTTATATAATGAATGCCATTTCCCTACACCATTGTATACAATGAGATTTGAATATCCACTGATTTTTTTGTAGCCATGGGGGTCCTGGAGCAAAACTCAGCGGATATCAAGAGCTTGCAGTAGGTTATAACATGGTATCCGTATATCTTGCATCATAAAATATGTCTTCATTCTTTTGGATGTGTGAGATACTCTGGTCACATGGCTCTGAATATGGTAATAAATATGGTACTAGTCTCAATGTCTCCATAAATCTTATAGAAAAAATGGAATTTGATGTGTACATTTAGTCACTTTATGACAGTCTTTGACTTCAAAATTGGAATTTGAAAGAATAAATGTTAATCTTCTTCATTAGATTGAAGAATGGCGTGCTCGAGCTGCCAAGTTTGAAGAGATGTGTAACTTGGTGATGGGCATGTTCACTCGTCTTTCCAACTGTGCCAACCGGACAATCCTCTACGATATGTACTCATATGTCTGGGACATCAAGAGCATCATGTCAATGGTGAAATCTTTTGTGCAGTGGCTAGGTATGTTCTTTAGAAACCAGTTATAGTTGCAACTAGCATATGTGATTGCTTCTTTTTAGCCCACGGGAAAAAAAGAAACTGTCAAACATTTGGATACTTTGGTCAGTTTGATCTTAAATCCTTTTCCTATTTCTATTCACACTTGCTATACTTACTTCACTATAAGGCCACATCAAAAGTTATAATAGCCCCACAGTGAATATTTGGTTCTGATTTTTTTCCCTTGGGCTAATGAACCTAAATATTGATCTCTGAAACATGAGTGTTGACTCAAACTGAATGCACACTGGATTATCTCATGCAGTACTTTCTGGCCTTGTTGCAAAATTGGAATTGACACTATGAAATGTGACTCTATCATAGCTATATGCTGCTTGCTCTGTCTAAATAACGTTATTGCTGTCTTCAACAGAACAATTGCAGATGTCACCTTTCAGTGGGCCTGGCCAAGAGGGAGCCGAGCCTCTTAGCCCTTTCTCTGCGCATGCGAGCTTTAGCATAAGGCTATTCTGGTGCAAAATGATTTGCTTTGACAGTTACAAGATACTTGATTTGGGGCAAGGGTAAGAAGTTTCAGAGCTCACGTCTGGTTTCATGCTAGGCTGATGACCCCTGAAGAAAAATTGAGAGCCCTTTTTTGTCTGCAGCCTTTTTAAAATTACATCTTTTTTTGAACAGCACCAGCATGGCCTGGGTTCCTCTAGTGACTTCATTTCACTTTCAGGTTTCAATCCAGCTGTAAGGAATATGCTGTGGACTTGCTTGATGTACACAGCAGGCAGCAAAGCTAATGGTTTCTTGTCACAATTTCTGTAGTTGTCGCAAATGCCATAGTAAACACATTCCACTATACTGGATCAGCCTACAGTTTCTGGATCACTTAAGGTGTGATATATCATACATATTTATTGGACATTATATATGTTCATAGTCTTGGGTTAGTTACCAGGTTATCTCCGGTTGCATATAGTTGATAATTCAGCAAAAAGATCTAAAGCATATTTAAAACTTTGAGGTTCTAGCAAAAAACTTGAGGGCCTAGTGCAGGGGTCCTCAAACTAAGGCCTGGGGGCCGGATATGGCCCTCCAAGGTCATTTACTCGGCCCTCGCGCAGGGTCAACCTAAGTCTGAAACTACTTGAAAGCACACAACAACAACAATAATACTATCTCATCAGCTAAAAGCAGGCCCACACATCCCACTGAAATACTAATATTTGTTAAAATTGTTCTTCATTTTAATTAGTGTATTATTTTTATGCACTACAAATAAGATATGTGCAGTGTGCATAGGAATTCATTCATGTTTTTTTCAAATTATAATCCGGCCCTCCAACAATTTTGGGGACTATGACCTGGCCCTCTGTTTAAAAAGTTTGAGGACCCCTGGCCTAGTGTATACAGCATTTATGTAGTAGGAATATTGCCTCCATCTAACAAGGGAAATTATTAAGAATTTAAGGCTTAGAATAGGTTTGCAATTTGGGCCAACCCATTACTTTGTAGTGAGTTCTTTCTTTTTCCTTAGTCTGAGTGGGTGAATCATAGGTTACATATAAGAAAGGAAAAGAAAATTAGTATCAGCCAATAGCCCCTATTGTAAAATTGGGAAATGAGACATCACTTAGTCTTAACAGGTGTAATTTCTTGTTTACAGATTTAAATTTCTGTAGTTTCTTGAGCCCCAAAGTGACTTCCTGACTACCCTGAAAATACATAATATTCTGTTGGAACAAGGGCAGTAATATTTCAAGGCATAGAAGGCAAAGGGCATGTCTAGAATCAGTGGACTTAGAACCATTTATTCTAATTGAGATACACACGCACACACACACATACATACACAGAATTAAACCAAGGTGGCGAGGGAGACTGAGAGGCACTATTATCTGCTAAAGCCAATGTACAGGCTTAGTGGAGTTTCATAGACAAGCCTGGGTGCAGCACTTAAGTGAAAACAAGAACTTCTTTAGACTCATACAAAAGAGATCTTGGTAAATAAATAGGTGACATTAAAGTGCACATTCATTCTGAGGTATGAACTTGTATCTCAACTTGCTGGGCCAGTGATTTATACTGCAATGTTGATTTTTTTAAAAAATAAGAACTATTTTAAAAGTTAACTATGTTTGAAAGAAGAGATTGAATTGTTTCTAAATTCACATCTACAGCACTCTGGTGCCCTTTGTGCCTCTGTCTAGATAGGATGAAATTGGTGTACCTAGTACATCAGATAATTTCATAGGAATATAGAGTATATATTTACTGTATTTACAAATAACTTTTTCAGGCATGGCAAGATTTCCCTATTTTATCTGAAGTCAGTAGTTCTGTCTTTGCAAAATTTTGAAGCAAATGGCTAGTGCTCCAGCAAGCAGAAAGGGAATAAGATCTCCCACACACAGTAGGGCTGGCTTACTTCATTTTGAAGTATCGTAAGTGGGGTGCTATATCTTACTTTTTGGAAGTGCCTCTCTAAGTCCATTATGCCCAACGTTTAAAGTTATTTAAACCATTGTGTTAAAAATTGAATGTCCCTTGAATAGTGAGATGTTTTAAGCTGTCTTACACTCAAGGGATTTGCAGTGGTTTCCCAAAGGAATGATCAGGTCTGTAGACGTTCAGACTGAGAACTGCCACAGTATTAATCTCCCAAATAGATACTTTGGAGGCTTAAATTCTCATGTGGTGCTTGTTATTTCTGCCTTAAAGATGGCCTCTTCCATTCAAGAGGACTTTTGATCTTTGACACTGATCAGTAATAGATTCAGTACATTTTAGATTCATTACATTTTATATTTTATTGATATATTTATTTACAAATCTCCATAGTTCATTGAATTGTGTTGATTAAAATCTTGTCTTGCTTATGGTTGAGACAATGATATTTTTAATGACATCACTTGTATTGCCATGAAACATGAATGTCACTTGATATAAATACACAGGAAACAGTCAGAGTGGTCTAGACACTGAAAGTTGATATGCAGAGTGGTCCACTGAAGGCTGATCTCCTTACCCTATCTTACAATCCAGCTAGCATTCAGTTTATATAACTAGTGTGGATACTACTACTATGGATTACTAATGCCTTCTACTGTCTTCTTCCCCAATGTGTGCAGATGGGAGAATCTTCAGCACAAGCGTCTGCTGCTATTGGATGGACCACGCCAGATGCTTTCAGCGTGTCGTGATAAATAATTTTTAAGATGGGAAGGTTCTGTCTGTGAGGCAGCTCAGTTTAAGGGCGGTAGGCATGGGCTGAAGTCACATTTGCGCAGCGACATAGGCATTAACTCTTGATTTTCATTCATACAGCTCTTCATTCATGCAGCTCTATAAAGTGTGTAATAGTTGGAGTGCTAGTAACAGTGTAGTCTCAAAGGAGAAGTACCCCAAGTTACCAGTTGAAAGGGTATTGTAACAGAGTCTTTCTACATGGGAAACTCTGAAATGGAACAGCTGAAACTCAAACAGGCATGTTTGGGGTCATCTTAGACTTGCTGTATTAAAGACTGTTTCATAATTTGATAGTAAACATCAATATCCAGCTTGGTTCGCTTTGAGACTGCCTGGCTAGCATGACACATCCGACTGTACTGATCTGAGATTGTTACTTGAACAGGAAGTAGATCGCTCTCTACAAGAAGAAGCAAACTTGCGCAGCTTATCTTATCAGAAGACTAGGCAGGTCACTTAACTTCACCTGTCTCTCCCCTCTCAGAGATGTTAGTTATGCTAATGGTTTTATAGCTTGGCTAGCTAAACTGTCACCAAGTCCAAGGCTTTATTAAATACTATAGCTGGATTCTTAAGAAATGGTGCAAAGGGCTTTGAAGTCCTTAGCAAAGCTGTATAATTGTAGCATTCCTGACATAGTTGAGGATGGGGAAAGGAAAATATTATATTATAGACCATTGTTGCCTTTATTGGTAACTTGTATGCTGTATTATGTGGTTGCAGTACATAAGTAATCTCTTTTATAAAAGAGACCTCTGTTCTGCATAGCTGTTTGGGCTATTTTATCTTGTACCAAACCTAGTTTTCTGGCAAGATCCTACAAGTATGAAAATGTGACTTCAGACAGGTCCAAGTATTGTTAAAGGGCTGTAATAATGGCTAATTAATAGTCATTGCTTACTTGGTTACACTGGATGTCTGTTTCCTTCTTTGATAAAATTTCCCAGTGTTCTTAGTGAAGAAAACAATGGAGCAAAGTTACCCTTTGTATGTCTCCTGTAACTGTATAGAATGGGACATCATAGCAGTATTGGACTGTCTGCTCTCTAAGACTCTCCATGTAAAATTATTTTGATTTATTTAATAAAAAGCACATCACCTAGGAAATATTAATCTTTACCACTGTGTGACATTATTACAGCCATGCAGCTTCTTGGATTATAGTTCAGTTAGAGAGCTTTTCCCACAAAGTGTATGTTAGTTTGTTGGTCATTTTAGTGTCTCAGGACAATCCCCCTCTCGTAACGTTCTCCGCTTGGATCTGATCTCCACAGGGTGTCGTAGTCAATCTTCAGCACAGTTCTTAAGTGGAGACCAAGAACCCTGGGCCTTTAGAGGTGGTCTAGCAGGAGAGTTCCAGGTATCAATATGAATTCACAACTGAATGACATTGTCTTTGTTTGAGAAATCTTTTATTGCGCATCTGAGGGCTGGAAGGCTTGGTCTGCCGAAGGCTTGCTGGTCCCAAACCCAAACTGCCTGACAGCTTTGTTTTTAAAATAATTTTCCTCCCATTTCTACAGTAATATCCCAAGGAGATGCTGCCATTCCCACGCGCCTGCGAAGCGCAGCGGCTTTAGTTGTACATTTCACATTGTTTCTTTGCAGGTCGCACAGCGTTTTTATCTGCGCCCGCAATTGCACAATGCGCGCCTGCTTGCCTGCCAATGAGAACTCCATGAGCAAAGAGATCATGGTGCTGTGTATTCTAGTGCTATCTGAAACCAAAAGGGGTACTTTTGTTCCTGGATAACCCAACTGGCAAGGCAGTCCTCAAGATTCGTTTATTCCGTACTTTAATTTGCTCATGAATTTTTCAGAGGCTTACTTTCTTCCCCCTCACAGGTGCTCTCTGCGCACAGCCAATTGAGTCAGCAAGTTGTTTTGGGGATAGTGTCTCCTCTGGCCAGTTAACCCTCTTCAGACCAAACCTTTCCTCCTGACATGGCTATGTTATGCTGAGAGCATAGATGAGAATTGGTAAAATAATGCTAAAGCAGAGTTTAATGTAAATTCCATAAAGTTGTGTTTCTTAAGAACTTCTGTTCAGATAGAATGGCAAAGTGGTCCTTACATTTGTAAAGCCTGCAAAACCCTCCCTCCCTCTGGGGTACCTGCAATAGCAAAAATTAACTTGGGAGTCTGCAGTGCACGCCCAAGAATGTATAGCATTGTGCTTCTCAAACACTTACACTGACTCTTTGTTTTCACAGCGTTTGCTGCCTATCGAAGGAGCAAATGATCTCTTTTTTCAGCCACCTCCTCTGACTCCTACTTCCAAAGTCTACACCATCAGACCCTATTTTCCTAAAGATGAGGTAACCTAAATTCATTGACCATTCTTGAGCACAATATTGTTGTTTGGACAAGCCCATCAGCAAAAAAACTGTTCCCTTTATTTTTTCAAGGTTCATTATTTAGTGTTTTTTTTTTTTTACTGCCTTGGAGAGTTGTGGACTCGGATGAGGAAATACAGTGTTACTACAAGGTTGAATTTTGTTGCAAATTACTGGCAGACTCACGGATAGTATAAAACAGGGGTATCCAATCTTTTAGCTTCCCAGGCCACTTTGGGAGAAGAATTGACTTAAGCCACTCATAAGATACACTAATGATAGCTGATAAGCAAAAAAAAAAAGTCTGCATAATTTTCATGTTATTCACCACTACAGATAAGCAAAAACATCTTTGGATAATAATCCTAATTTAAAAGACCAATTCAGAAGGTCTTTTAATAAAATTGTTAAACAGGTCTGGCTAAACCTTTCCAGTTAAAATGCGAATTATGGCTAATATGCTGGTATCTTGGATGGAACATACTCTGTTTCATTTTATTCTGTTGTCTACAAAGTTTGTGCCTGGCTTCCAAAAAAATCACAAAATCTCATAATGCTTTAGGAAAGTTTATGATTTTGTGTTGGACTGCATGTCCATGGGCCATGGATTGGACAAGCCTGCTATAGAAGATACTTTTGCTGGTTAAATTCTGTAGAGTTACTTGGCTCCAGTTTAGAAGAGAATCCTTACATCCAGTTGTCTGCCTGGGTAATACTTGTTGTTACATAGGCTTTAAAAGAAAATAATGCAGTAATTTCTACATAACCTTTAACTTAAAGGTTATGATGCATACTTTATATAAAGTATGAAATAGAGTGCTGGAAAGAGACTATTTTTTTCCAACTCTGCTCAGCTTTTTAAGGTCACTAAAGATTCTCTGGGATTCAATTTTTTTTGTTTTGCGAGAGACACAGACTAAATTAATACAAGAGATATAGCTGTTTTTGAAATATTTAAATATATTTGTATCTCGGGTTTCATTTAGCAAACTATTTTTGCTTCTGCTCTTGAAATACATTTTTAATAGATAATGTGTTGTAATGGGTCCTGTTTAAAATGCTTTGTTGTGTTTTTAATAGTAGCCTATGCCTTGTGCCAAGGATCACAAAATACAGTTAAGATGGAGTAATTTCATCAAGTTATGTAAACCTAAGCTATTTGGGAACAATATATATTCTCCAATATATTGTGAGGAGTTTTGTATTTATCAGTCATATTTATATGCCAGATGTAGGAATTACAGTTTTGTGGAATGTAATGAAAGAATATGCCTTTTTTCTTATTACTAGGAAACCAGCACTTCTAAAAGAGTATACAGGCAGTCCCTGAGTTACAAACATCCAACTTAAAATGACTCATAGTTAAGAATGGGGCTGAGACAACAGGAAGTGAGAGAAATCTACTACTAGGAAGGGAAATTCATTTCTAGAAGAGTTACCATGGGGAAAAGGTGTCTCCACTGAAGCCTTACCACCAATCCTAGTTTCCACAACAAGCTATTTTTTCAAAATCCAGTTATCACAGAGACAGAAAGTGAGGTGAAATCTTCTAAACAGGGGCACAGACAGAAAAAAAAACACCACAGGGGGGGTTAAACCTTCCCTATGCTATCCAAAGCTAAAGTGTGTGTGTATGCGTATGGCTGGAGTTACATTTTAAAAAATGTACCTGTTCTGAGTTACAAACAAATTCAACTTAAAAACAAACATACAGAAAGTAGGCTTTTTGTTACTTGGAGACTGCCTGTATTGGGGAAAATTATACATTGTCTTTTTTCTTCATGTCCTTAGGAATCTGTCTACAAGATTTGCAGAGAAATGTATGATGATGGAACTGATCAGCCTTTCCATAGCCAGCCAGACCTAATTGGAGACAAGTATGTATGCTCAATATATGCAGTACTTATATAGTAATATTGTCCCTCTTACTGTTGACAACTGGGCAAAAGCAACAGACCTCAGTGTCCTCCAACCAGAGCATACAAATATTGTATTGGTATTATATGTTATAGAATCATAGAATCATAGAATCAAAGAGTTGGAAGAGACCTCATTGGCCACCCAGTCCAACCCCCTGCCAAGAAGCAGGAATATTGCATTCAAATCACCCCTGACAGATGGCCATCCAGCCTCTGTTTAAAAGCTTCCAAAGAAGGAGCCTCCACCACACTCTGGGGCAGAGAGTTCCACTGCTGAACGGCTCTCACAGTCAGAAAGTTCTTCCTCATGTTCAGATTGAATCTCCTTTCTTGTAGTTTGAAGCCATTGTTCCGCGTCCTAGTCTCCAGGGAAGCAGAAAACAAGCTTGCTCCCTCCTCCCTGTGGCTTCCTCTCACATATTTATACATGGCTATCATATCTCCTCTCAGCCTTCTCTTCTTCAGGCTAAACATGCCCAGCTCCTTAAGCCGCTCATAGGGCTTGTTCTCCAGACCCTTATGTTCCGATTTACAAACATATTCAACTTACAAACAAACATTCAAAGTTCTACAGGTAATGTGTACATTGTCTAATGTGACATTTATGATTTCTGTTTTGTAATCTGACCATTCTTTTATCTTCAGGCTGGTAGGTGGTTTGCTGTCTCTCAGCCCAGATTACTGCTTTGTCTTGGAGGATGAAGATGGCATCTGTGGCTATGCTCTGGGTACTGTTGATGTGACTCCCTTCATAAAGAAATGCAAACTTGCCTGGATTCCTTTCATGCAGGAGAAGTATAGCAAGCCCAGCAGTGATAAGGAGTTATCAGAGGCTGAGGTTAGTCGTGCTCATGTGTGTTATTTGTCCATACTTCTGCTCCTTGCTGCCTTTATATCTGTAGAAACTTTGTTCTTTCCATTGTCAAGGCCACCATCTAGTAAATATAAAATTTACAATGTGCAAACTAAAAATAATCTAGAATCATTTTTTTCTGTGTGCTTTAAATTACTTATTTGGGTTTTATTTGGGTTTTTTGCTTGCTTAAAAGCAGAATTTGTAATATTTGTAATATTTTTTGTTACATTTCTTGTCCCGTGAATGGTATACCCCAGCTGTGTAACCACTTTGAGTCCCCCCAGGGGTGAGAAAGGCAGTATATAAATACTGTAAATAAATAAATACAAAAGTCCCTCTTTGACAAGTACACAAAATGCTTTCAGCAAAAATCACTGAACAGGGTTTTATGTTGAAAGGTTATTTTTGTTGTGTGTATTGTAGAAAATCATGCTAAGCTTCCATGAGGAACAAGAAATTATGCCAGAAACATTCCTTGCCAATTTCCCATCACTGATAAAGATTGATATCCACAAAAAGGTGACTGATCCAAGTGTGGCTAAAAGCATGATGGCCTGTCTGCTTTCTTCTCTTAAGGCAAATGGTAAGTGCCTCCTGCTAACTCCTCCAGTTATGGGATATTAAGGGCAGCTACAACAATCTACATACCTGGCAATTAGGATAGTTTTAGCTGCATAGACTTTAAATCCTTCTAATATGAAGTATATGGATTAGTATCAATGTATGAATCCATACCTTTAGGAGATATTTCTTTACTATGTTTGCAGTGCAGCTTAAAATACTGATGTGTACTTTATTGTAGTGCACTCTATGTTGTCCTACCTTTCAAAACAAATCAGAAATAACATTTGCTCCAGAATTCAGCAGTTAGATCCCTTAATTGATAGCTGTTACCAGTATCTCAGTTATTATAATCCTGGATAGCATTCTTTTCCTGAGTCTTGAAAAGGCACCTTCAATGTCCTCGCCCCTAAACATTATGTAAGAAATTAGAGATAGACCAGTGAGAATTCCTTTGGAATTTTGTACAAAGGGAGATCTATAGGTATTAAAAAGTTTCCCATCAAAATGTAAACATATATTTAACATTAGTACATAATTGAACTATTGCATGTTACAAACTCATTTTAGCTGCATTGTGAGTAGCCACTTTGTTGTCATATTCAATAGTCTCAAATTGAAGTCCATCAAGAAATAATAAGCAATAAAATATACCAGGTTTTTGAATTAAGAACAGAAAATTGCCAGTTTCAATACGGGAGTGTGTCATATACTGACCATTTTGCTGATTATAGCGAGGGCAGTAATACAGCACTTCTAGATCTCCACAGCAGCCTCAGCCATATATTTGGAACTGTTGTGTGTGTATTGAACTGCCTTAGAAGGTTGACGAATCCCCTCGTGGTGGAAATCCTGAAAGCTGTGAAACTAATTCTTCAAGTATATTTCCCAAACATCCCAGAGAGAATGGTTTCAGAGCTGGTTTTGACACTTTAAATCTGTAGTTAAAAATTCTAAAAGACATTGCAAAATTATTGGGTATTATTTTGGGACATGCTTTAAATATTTCTTTGAATCCTAGGAAAGCAAAGAGTTAATTTTAGATTTTCGTAATGTTTGAAGTACTGCATCTTTGGCAGTATATTTGACTGGGAGCCTCAATTTTCTGATTGTCCAAGAAAACCCAGAAAATCATCCAGGTGTTTACCTTCAGTCAGAAATAAACGATGGGTCTTGACTGCATGAGAGATAATCTATCAATAGTTGCTAAACTCCGGCTTTATTCTGTTAATCATTTTCTTGTTCTTCCAATGTTTTCCTTCTTTAGGTTCTCGTGGTGCTTTCTGTGAAGTCAGACCAGATGATAAAAAAATCCTGGAATTTTATAGCAAGCTGGGATGCTTTGAAATAGCTAAAATGGAGGGATTTCCAAAAGATTTTGTTATCCTTGGAAGGAGCTTGTAAGGAGGATTGTCAGTCAACATTTCATACTGTAATCACTGTTGGAGAGTGGTGAGCCTGAGATTTATCTTATGGTCTGTCCGTGCAAAGGCAGCAGTCAGCTGGCCTGACAGGAATTATATGAAAAATCTCCAATTACTCTCTCTCAGATGCTGCTCAAAACACAAACTGATGTTGGTCATCTTCATTTCCTGGTCTTAAGCCATGTGCCAAGGAATACTGCATATGATGTAGCCTTGGGAAGAGATCCACATGAATTCCCAAGGAGTTACTGGTAGCAGTTCGTACATCCACCTCTGTATTCAACAGAATGGCTGTTCTCCATTCCCCTTGTTTTCATGATGTGAGATATTTCCTTTTACAGAGGGAAACTGGGTGCCTGTGTTGGCTGACAAGCAAAAGATGAATGCAGACAACTCTGGGCTTTGTTGGCTGTCATGTTTACTGATGGGGGAATGAATGGCCATTGCCTCTAAAGGATATTGGTTAAGCTTTGTGCTTTGTAGGGATAAACTGTGCATTTGTCTGTGGCAAGGTCACTCAGTGGCAGAAGTGTAAATTTCAGTGTGTAAATATATATAAACTTGCTGTATGCTGACACTTTGTGTTTAATCGTTTTGTAATTATTTTGCTTTCCAAAGCAAAGTGGTATCATTTTGAGACAGCACTTTTAAATAATGTTTAAACAGAGGCTGAAGCCAACTTCACTACTGGCCTTTTCTGTGGTGCCTCATTACTTTCACTAGAAATCCCAATTTGGGGAAAGAGTGCTGATCTAGAAAGGTTGTTCCTTTAGAGGATAAATTCTTTAAAAGGTGGAATTAATGCTGTCTCCTACTGGGGAAAAACTGGTCAGAGGACAATCCAGGATGACCACTATTGCCACTGACAACCAACCCATTGCCCAGCCGCACTGGGAGGGAGGAGGAAGGGAGGACTGTCGGTTGCCATTCCCATTTCTCCTGTGGCAAGGGAGTCAAATTACAGCAGGGTCTTCAAGTCATGCATGTTTGTGACACTTTTTGTGGACAAAATAAGCACATTTTACGAATGATTCAAGTAGATGCCTAATTTTAGCATTACTGCCTGTTCCCAACATGTAAAGGTCTTACCAAACTCTGACATGTGGAACCTGCATGGCTAGGAATTGTAGTAAGGCGGTAGGTGAAGAGTTTTTACTTTTCCATTTATGCCTTGTTCCTACAAGATAATCAGCCAACGTCACACCTCATTTCTTTCATCTGCTGTATCAACTGTATTTGCTTCCTTTCAAAATACTTCTTTTTAAAAGGATGGAAGTTGAATGGATTTCTTTTAACTCCTCCCTCTGTGTAGGCTTGGAAGGAGATTTCTCTGTTTTCTTCAAATGGCAATTTATTGCCAGTGCAGTTTACAGTCTCCTTTGGGAAGCTGACGTTTGGCCTTGGTTATAGTTATACTCATAGGTTGATTTTCTTTCACTGTGCGGCCCGTTTTAATAGCAGAGTAAATTTAAACAGCAAGTACATTCACTTGGGGACTGAGACACTGAACTATGATGAAAGATCATGTATAATCCCAAGGTGACTGTGTTGAGTCTGTTCTGGCTTTGCATACATACAGAGCGCTTGGACACTTCATTTTGTTTTAATTGGATGTCAGAAAGAAATAAAAAGTGTATATACGGCATTATACATTGGGGGGAGGGAGAGAGATCTTGATTTTTCTACTGTTAAGCTGAACTCTTATATAATTATCACTGTTTTAAGTTAGTTGTGTGATAGTCTGGAAAATATGGGTCAGTCCCTTGCTCTGAGGTTGTAAAGTGAGACATTGACACAGCTTTCAAGGCTATCATGTTTCATTGCATACAATTGGAATATCACTTTCATGACTGTCTTTAGACCTACTGTATCTGTAGCAGAACAAAAGACTGTGTAAAGTTGTTTTTGGAGACCATGTGAGAAATAGAATAAATTGCAAAGTGAATGTAAAGACATGTCTCTGTATAATGTTGCAAAATGAGGAAAGTGGGTGGAGAAGCTTCCTGCTGTGCTTTAGAGCAGTCTACTGATTATGTGGCAGAGGTGAGTAGCTTGGCCCTAAGGTATAGCAAATACGCTTCTGAACAGTGTCCATTGTCTATTAAGTGTAAATGTGCTGTTCTGTATATGTATTCATGAATTCAAAGGAAGTACATATAAAAGCAAGGCTAGCTATATTGACCATGAAACCAAATTAATGTGGATTTTTGGGCTGTAGAAGCTTGTTTTGAAGATGATCAAATTTATGTTTATATCTAGAAAACACAAAACATATCCAGAAATAAAAAGTTTTAACCCAATTAAAAGCTTATAAAGCTAGAGTAGTAGTTCTCTGCTGCAGACTATTTTGAAGGAAGGGAGAAGTAGACAGGAGAGTTAAATAGGATCCTGAAGTTTATTGAAGCTTACTCTAATGCCAGAAAGTTTATCCTGAGTGTAGATTATTGTAGTGTCTGAAAGCTCACAATGCATATTTTAACCTCCTGTAATAAACTAGACATGTTTTTTTTTTTTTAAAAAAAATCTTTCTGCTAAGTTGTTGAGTTTGTGTTCCTTCTATCTTCAGCCCACTCTAGAATAAGAATAGCATATATAAGGGCATGAAGAATACAATCAGTGATAGCTGTATTTATTTGTGGGACTAATGATAGCATGCTCATATTTCCATGTACACACTGAGAAAAATGACACATGAGTCAGTGCGGTCAAGGGCTCTTGAGCTTCTGATGCCCTTTTCAAAACAACCCTTTTATTGCAGTTATAAAGCAGTAAAGGGCATGATGAATGCCAGTACATAGCACCTCTGTAACACTGGTTTGCTGTAGTTTATTGTGTCAAAGTAACTGATCAGCATGGAGACATGTTTATGAAGAAAGCTTGGGAACCTTTCCATTTAAGAGGCCACTGTTTGCTTGTTGGAGTGGCTTAATTCCCCAATAGGGCTGCTCCTCACAAGGAACTATTTGACATGAAGGTCCTCTTTATCCTAAGAATGCCAGTTGCACACCTCCCTAGCTGTTGCGTGTCAAATCTCATCTTTTTCACAAGGTTTATATTGAGATCTGTTCTATAGAGAAAACTGCCATTTCCTGAACATCATCAGGGACCACTGCTAATCACATGTGAGTTGACCTATTGTTAGGTTATGTGAAAGCCAATCTGGTTTGTTCCTTTTTGTTGTTTGTCTGATCTTCCTCTTTATATTTTTTTTATCCCATGTTCCTTATCTTAAATAAAGTCTTCAGCTTGGAACCTGGGGAGTGTGTATTACTTTTGAGAGTGCCTTTGTCCTAATGTGGCAAGTGGGTTGGATTTGGCCACACTTGGACTGTGCTTTCATTGTCCCTTGACTAGTCAGCTATTTTGAAATTCATGCTTTTAATAAACAAGCCCCAGGAAGGTTTAAAACAGGGGTCCTCAAACTTTTTAAACAGAGGGCCAGGTCACAGTCCTTCAAACTGTTGGAGGGCCGGATTATAATTTGAAAAAAATGAACGAATTCCTATGAACACTGCACATATCTTATTTGTAGTGCAAAAAACGCTTAAAAACAATACAATAATTAAAATGAAGAACAATTTTAACAAATATAAACTTATTAGGATTTCAATGGAAAGTGTGGGCCTGCTTTTGGCTGATGAGATAAGGTTGTTGTTGTTGTGTGCTTTCAAGTCATTTCAGACTTAGGTTGACCCTGACCGAGGGCCAGGTAAATGACCTTGGAGGGCCGTATCCGGCCCTCGGGCCTTAGTTTAAGGACCCCTGGTTTAAAGGTTATTAACATGTCCTCCTGTTGTATTACTCGTGCAAGTGTAGACTTGGGTTGAGAGATTTTGAAGAGAACTGCAATTTGCCTGTTCTTCAGATGTGTACATCCTGCCTAATTGTGGAATGGTAGCAATACTCAAAACCAATGCTGCTCAAAAGAGTGGCTTGTGAACCATTGCTAGTTTATGCACGTTTCCAGGAAAGAAGTAGCTGGAGTCAGTAGCCATAAATACATACTGCTTCCTGGCAGATAAAAAAAAGAGATGGTTCCTCACATCAGCTTGAGAAATTGTTGAAAGCCTAAGTTACTAAAAGGGTTTACATAGGTGGTGCAGTGGGTTAAACCACTGAGCTGTTGAACTTGCTGACCGAAAGGTGGGCGGGAGTGGGGTGAGCTCCTCCTGCTAGCCTCAGCTTTTGCCAACCTTGCAGTTCGAAAACAGGCAAATGTGAGTAAATCAATAGGTACTGCCTTGGTGGGAAGGTAGCGGCCCTCCATTCAGTCATGCTGGCCACATTACCTTGGAGGCGTCTATGGACAATGCCGGCTCTTTGGATTAGAAATGGGGATGAGCACTACCCCCCCCCCCCCGAGTCTGACATGACTAGACTTAATGTCAGGGGAAACCTTTACCTTTACATAGTTACCTTGGCTACAAAGCATATGTGCACCCATGGGTCTTACATCACCTCTCAAAGTCATATTTGAAAGTATAATTTTTTTAAAAGCCAAAAATAAGTTTTAGGCAAGTGGTTCTGGAATAGTCTGCTGAAAAAGTTTCACATTTCTTTCTTGCATTTGGGGAATAATTCATGATATTATCTCTTACTGAGCAGCAAGGGAACTGTAGTTTATTGTGGCATGTATTCAAAAATTAAAAAACAGGCTTCTTGAAAATCTGGTTTAGTTTGCGGTCAAAAGAATATGTACTATTATATGAAAGGGATAGCCTGTCAGAAAGCAGTGCAGGGATATTAGTGGGAAGCAGTCAAATATCCTTGAGTGAAATGATATGGAAATGTAATACGACTGTTCTGCTGTATCTTCCCCCATCACTTTCAAAGTAGAATGATGATGTTTGAAAAAGAGGTGATTTACTAGATATAACTATTCCAGATGTCAGTGGGAGAAATCTCTTGAATAAAAAAGGGACAAGCCAGGCTAGACTGAAAGAGAGAGGTGGAGCTACCTGAGATTAAAAGTTTACTCCCGTTTTTAATACATTCAGACCATTTCCCCTGTTTGCTTTTAGTTAATCTACATATTACCACCCATGTGGTGGATATAATATAGTTGATCATATTTCACTTGGAGAATGATGACACCACTGTTTGAGATATTACCTAATGCCCATATTTGATGCAGAAGTTGTTATCTTTGCAGCCTGATGGAATATGGGTTCAAGATGGAATAGAACAAGCATTCTATGCAGATTATCTGGAGGTGGAAAACCCCAATGCTTTGGTCTTCAAAACTCTTTGAGACGTTTTATCTGACAGAACAGGAAGGAAACTGCCTCGCTGAAAAGAGAGGTAGGATGTCTGCTGTCTGGGGTAGCTTTGGGATTGCTCCATCCCCAGCACTTTGTGAGTTCCATCGTTTAACATCTGACAGCAGAAAGCAGCTACCAGGAAAACTCATCAGTTTCCCACTGGGATAATAACCCATTCGTTTTTACTGCACAGAAATAAAATACTACAAATTTGACATGCAGAAAGCCACCCCCTGCCTTTGCCCACAGCTGGGAAATCGACCAGGTCTCACCAAAAGCAACCTTTCTGTGGGAGGCCACCTGATATTTTGGTGAGCTGTGTTAAGCTGTGCCACTGGGCTTGATGAGTTGTTAAAACTTTCATATGGATTATTATAAGAAGCCTCATCTCTACAGGAAAATAAGGTTTGTGGTGCCTGGTGTCGATAGCCTTCCAAGGAAGCAAGAGGAAAGGATCCAGAATGCCTTGTAGGCTATGACAGGTGAGGAGAAATCTTTTACCTTATGTTCATAATTTTTATAAGTAGTCTTGATGGCCTAAACAGATGGTTGCAATCAGAGATGGGGTTGTTCATAACAGACAGTAAGCCAAGAAATTAATGGAGTATCCATTTGCAACCGCTGTGTTGATCCACACAGCTCCTAAAGTTTGATCAAGTCTTGTCATCTGAACACACAACCAGAATTTATACTATTTTGGATGAATTACATTATCTTCCATTGCAAGCTGTTGAGATTAATTGTACACTGTATATCTTAAAACTGAATGAAAACTATCATGTAACCAGGAGAGCAGGCTTGCACACTGTGGGCTTCTGGTTTTGAGGCTCCAACTTCCTGAAGCCCTAGCCATCTTGTCGAATGATCAGGAATTCTAGGAGCTGAAGTTCAAAACACCTGGAGGGCCACAGGCTGTGTAGGCCTGTGGGTTTTTTTCGTTTTTGTCATGTCAGGAGCGACTTCAGAAATTGCAAATTGCTTCTGGTGTGAGAGAATTGGCTGTCTGCGAGGACATTGCCGAGGGGACGCCCGGATGTTTTGATATTTTTTCATCCTTGTGGGAGGCTTCTCTCATGTCCCTGCATGAGGAGCTGGAGCTGGTAGAGGGAGCTCATCCACCTCTCCCCGGATTCGAACCTGTGACCTGTCAGTCTTCAGTCTTGCCGGCACAGGGGTTTAACCCACTGCGCCACGGGGGCTCCCTGTGGTAAAGGCTATTTAGAGAGGTGGGCCATAGATGGGCCTCAGTCTCTAGCCATCAGCTGTTGGGTATTTTTTAAGAAAAGAAAGGAAAAATGGGGGCAAGGGAAATGCAGGTACACAGATACTGTAGTTAAGAAAGCCCTGCCTTATCTGACAATATGATGTCTTAAGCAACCTGCTTTGCAGATAGGAAAATGGATGTCCCCCCTGATTTTGGACTGTGGACCCCATTACCTACTGCAGCCTAACATATTAAAGAGGAGAGCACCTATTCCTTATTCATTCCATTTTGTGTAAAAGGGGGAGGAGCTATTCCTAATATCATAGGGTACTGGTGCCTCACCAAACTGCAACTCCCACAATTCCATAGCACTAAGTCAGAGCACTCAAAATAGTTTCAAACTGAACCCAGAGAGATGCCACAGGCCTCCTTCGTGGCGGAATGGAAATCACGTGTGGTTCACATTTACCAATCTACACAGTCTTG